AATTCTTTTGCATTTACTTAAGTAAGTTGTATGGAACCCTGTCCTTTTGATACAGGCAACTAGCAAACATCCCTGAACTTAATAAACACTTGCTCTTGTCCCTAGGTTCATGCCTCAGTTGTTTTCCTTAGGGTAATAAGTCTTAAGATTATAGAGGATACATTTGCATTTTCTTATTTGTACCTGTCTGCACTGACAAATTTTCTAAGCATTCATGTACATTGCATTTAAGTTAGAACAAACTAACAGAAATGACAAAAGAAGACAAATAATCCCCTGGAAAACAGGATACTGTATTTACTGTCCTCTTTGACTACAGAATGTCCTGCTCCTTCATGTCCAGCTAAGGAAGTTTTCTCTGACATCGTAAGTCTAGGTTAGATGTCACCTGCCAGAATGCTCTATCTGGCTAATCATGTTATACTATGAATACTTTGTGTCCTTTTGTAAGCTCTGTGAAGAATGGACCGTGTCTGCTTTATATTCCTTTTGTGCGCCCGGCCCTTAGTGACTGGCACAGAGAGTACTTTGTGTAACATGTTTGCTGCGTCTGGGTGGAAAGAATGCAGTGAAGAGGAGGAAGAGCTCTGCACACACTGAGAGAGAGAATAAGATGAATGCTGGTCAGCTTGGTCTTGGCATTTTCCTTCCTTCCATTTATAATCGCATCTTATAGCACCCTTTAGGGGTCCTGAATACAGGGAATGGATTTTCTTCTCTATACCCCGAAGCCCTAGAAAAATAGGCAAAAGTAATAAAAATAGCTCTATTTATTAAGCAACAATTATGTGCCAAGTACTTTAAATACATTATATATATTATTTCTGATCCTCATGAAACCCTAGAAAATCAAGTGCTATTATCTCAATTTTATAAGCAAGGAAAGAAAGGTAAGAGGAAAGAGGTAAAGTGATCTACTTTGTATCACACAGTAAATGGCAGAGCCAAGATTTGACTCAGGACTGCTTAAGATCAAAGATTATTCTCTCTCTTTTTTCTGCTATTGAATTGAGGTAAACTCTGTTCCGCTTGACAGTTTCTTTTTTTTTTTTTTTTTTCCGTACCTCATTTTTCTGGGTCACCTGATCTTACCAGCACAGTGAAGTATAAGCAGTGAATGCTCTTTGGTCAGTCAGAACTGGGCTCTGATCTTGGCTCTACCAGTTAATAGGTCTATAACCTTTAGTCAAGCCACTAAACTCCTTAGGCCTTCACTTCTGCATCTACAAAGTCAGACTAATGGTATTTACTTATTTATGAATGAATGACAGGGTCTCACTATATAGTCTAGGCTGGCCTTGAACTCACTATGTAGCCCAGGCTGGCCTCAAACTCCATGGCAACCCTGCTGCCTCAGCCTCCTAGAGTGTGGGGATTACAGGTTCTAGTTTTTTTACTGTTTTGTTTCGGTTAATTATATTTTTTAAAACTGCAAGATTAGAGATGTTTATCAAACTCTTAGTACAATGACATACACAAATAAAAACAATAAAAATGGACAGGGTATTTATTGTAAGGCTTTTATTTACTTTTCTCAAAACCCTACGAGATAGGAACTATTATAACCCCTACTTTATGGCTATGGAAACTGAAGCACAGAGAAATTAGTTAAGTTGTTTGCCTAAGGTCACCTCACTACAGTGAGGGGAAGAAATGGTAGGTGAAGCTAAAGGATGTGGCCTCAGAGGCAATGCTCTAAACACTGCTGGTAATGCCTATTAACTTGTTCCCACCAGCTTGAACCACTAGTGGTGTAAGCTGCCTGGCAATGACACATAGGAATTAAGGTCATGTCATGAACGTGTTAATACACTGTAGTTAAGTAAAACTGGGTTCAGTGACCATGATGTCAACACCTGCCTCTGAGGGAGGTTCTTTTTTTTTTTTTCCTCCATACCGGGAATCGAACTCATCACCTCAAGCTTGCCAGGCAAGCGCTTACGCTGCTGAGCTATATCCCCAGGCAGGAGGTTCTTAAAACAAGGAAGGATAACCTGTCAGACTCTGTCTTGCACCTGAAAATGCTAGGGTCTTGCTTTAGAAGCTAGAGTCAGCAGAAGACCTAATATCATAGTGGAGACAAATCTCTGGTGTATGGCACACTGTGGATTATGGTTATTGATAGATAAAATTACAAAGGTACAAATGTACTTGGATTTCTACACTGAGCAGGTAGTCAAAGAAAAGATCACTTCTAAGTCCTTAAATTCCATAGGAGAACAACGTGGCCTTCTGCGGGATTCTCCACCACACATACGCATCCCTAGTACCATCAGTGCCACTGTTTCACTAGGTCAAAAAAAGAAAAAAAACCTGACATACTGTCAATAGGATGTGCGTTTATTTTTACAACCTGCTAAATATTCAAACAGAGTTCATACCTCCTTTATGCCAGATTTTGAAGACCAGGGTTTGCTGTGGGTCCAGAAGAAGCTCTTTTGATAGCCTATTAAGACAGACAATCACCATATATTAACTTCGTAGGACTCTTCTTTAATATGAAGCAAGATCTGAAGGCACACTAGCTCACCGACACTGTTTTACTTCGTCTTCACAGCCACCCTTTCACGACATGCTTTTATCTTTGCAATCAGCACAAGGGGATGGCAGCTCAGAGAGGTGAAGTAATTTGCTAGGACCCCAATAAAGGCTCTTCCCCTCGCCCCCGTAGCATCTCCCATGTCCAGTCTGTTTCTCTAAAGCCAGAGAAGGGAGTACGGGATGGGAGCTTCACAACATGCACTGACAGCTTTATTGGGCTAAGGATTCATTTTACACCTTAAGGTGGGGAAATGGTGCGGGAAGAGGGGAAAAAGAACATTTATTGAGTGCCTACCTTGGGTCAGGGATAGAGTCAAGTGTTTCATTGTATTTGATCTGCACAAAAGCCTGTGCTATGGGAATCATTATCCTATTGTACAGATTAAGGACCCAAGAGGTTCAGAGATGTAAAGTGAGTTTCACATAAAAACTGGGTTTTGATTCCTGGTTTGCCTGATTCAATGCTACATAGTATAGAAGGCAAAAAAATATGAAAGTGCCCAGTTTTCCCAACAGAAGTAGCTGAAGTGTAAATCACTGAGCACCTTGAATATATTTTGTAAGAAGCAAATTCTATTTTTTTCAATTATAAACTAAACTCTGTAAAGTTATAAACCAGGTGCCAATGCTGTAGCTGAACAAAATGGGAAGATTAATTTTGTTTCCAAAACACCACTGGCGATCTGAAGAGAGCCTACTTTGAGATCAACAAGGGGGAGATGTGATATGTAGAGGTAACAATACCCCAAGATGCTTGTGATTATTAAGTATTACTAGCATATAAGATGTGTTAAGATGTGATATGTAGAGGTAACAATACCCCAAGATGCTTGTGATTATTAAGTATTACTAGCATATACCAATAAAAAATACATTGAAAAAATCAACACATTTTAATTGCAATTGGGAATCAAAAGATTCACCTTTGAGTTCTAGCTCTACTATCAGACTTGGGTTGACTCTGTGTGTGCACTTAGCCTCTTTGAGCCCTGGGCCTCCTATCAGGTACATGTGGTAGTATTATCTACATGCAAAGTGCTAGGATCAAAGGAAATAATTTTGTGTTGAAAGAACAGTAGATGTGCCACCATTTATTTTCTTCTGACCCTGCCTTTGTTACCAGCAGACTACATAATCCCTCTAGACCACAGCCTCCTCAGCTGTAAAGGTCCCTTCATCAAGTTCATACAGTTTTATAATTACATTATGTAGTTAGGTTGTGATGAACAAATCCTTTCTGCTTTGAAGCTCAATAATCTGGTTTCCTGACTTCTAGACAAGACTTGATATTTTAGACAGCACTCCCTGGTCACCGGTGCCAGAATTTCTGTAATTTCCAGTAGCTCACCATTGGTATCACATTACTGAGTTTTCACTCAGACCAGCTTCTCAAACTACACAACTCTGAACATGTGAGCAACTGCTGACCCCTAACTAAGTACACAAACACTGTGAGAAAACAGCAGATAGGCGTATGGTATGGCTCGTGCTGGTGGGCAAGAATTAAACTTGTAAGAGTTAATGCAGTGCAATAACAGTAACAATAGTTAACATTCAGAACCATATTTTAAATGATGACAGTAATTGAAGAAAAGGAAGGATAAATCTTCCATGCCAGTTCTGCGCCATCTCTGTCAGCCCACTTTTTCTGAGTGGCTCAAAGAGGCTAAGTGCACACACAGTCCTATTAACCTGATTAATAGGACTCTACCTCCTATTTTTCTGTCTTCCAAAGGACAGCTAACATTTGATGCATATATACTAGGTACCAGGAAGCAATTTTCCTAATATCAGCTAAATTGTACCTTATAGCAAACCTATAAAATTATCCCCACTTTATACACGAGGAATCCAAGGCTCCGACATATTATTATATAATTTGTTCACACAGCTAATAAATGCTAGAGATGAGACTGAAGGCCAAGTGTCTCTAGTTCAATAGAATAATCTCCTTCCCCTGTAGCAGAAGTCTTCCAAGGATAAATAATCCATAGCCTTCCCTGAGATTAGTTCTCCTTTCCTGGAATACTCTTGGCACACTTCTTTATTCGTCAATATTGAGTGGAGGTGTCTGTGTTACTGATGAAGTGTTGGAGACAAATTCACAATGGCTAGTTTCACATACCTCCCTAAGGGATGGACGGAGGCTTGGGATTTTTGGTATCACCCTCTTGAGATTTCCCATTACCCTGTTAGGGGTAAGACCAAGACTTCTAAGACGAAAGATGCTCCAAGGCAAGATCCGCATTAGTTTAAGATGACCACCACCTTCTGAGTCATGCAATAATCCCCTCACCATTTTCCTCAATCAATAAATACCGAGGCTCTGGTTGGTTCGTGGCCTTTTGTTTCTCATGAACAACTGGTCATACAGGATCTCTGCTGTACTGCCATTTTATCTCTTTCCTTTCTCTCTCCTCTCCTCTCCTCTCCTCTCATCTTCTCCTCTCTTGTCCTCTCTTCTCCTGTCCTCTCCTCTCCTCTCCTCTCGTCTTCTCCTCTTCTGTCTTCTCCTCTCTTCTCCTCTCCCCTCCTTTCCTTCTTTCCCTCCTTCTCTTTTCTTTCTCTCCTTTCCTCTCCTCTCCTCCCTCCCCTCCCCTCCTTCTGTCTCTCCTCTCCTTCTCTCTCTCTCTCTTGCTTTCTTTCTGCTGTGCCCTGTACCTCCTCACAGGAGATTTGAGGCTTACTGAGGGGGCCCCAATAACAAAGCTGCTCCTGAACTTCCAGGTTAGTCTAATCCTTTTCTTTGAGCTCCACTAGCATCATTTTTATATCTTTTACACACTTGTCACACTTGATTGTAACTTTTAAGTTTTCTTTCCAGGTAGACCATTAACTTCTCAATAGCGAGACGTTTTTTTGGTCATCTTTTTGACACAGGGTCTTGCTATGCAGTTCAGGCTGGCCTTGAGCTCACTTTGTAGCCCAGGCTGGTCTCCAACTCACAGTGATCCTCCTGCCTCAGCCTCCTGAGTTCTGGTATTACAGGTGTGCAGCACCACGCCTGGCCAGACAGTGTTTTTTTTGTGTGACTGTGTGGTATGGAGAATTGAACTTAGGGCCACTCTACCACCAAGCAAGTCCCAAGTTCTTTAATAGTCTTTAAAAATATTTTTGAGATGGAGACTTGCTAATTTGCCTAGCTTGGTCTTGAACTTGGGATTTTCCTGCTTTATCCTCCTCTGAGTAGTTGGGTTTATAGGCAGGATGCCACTATGCCCAGTGCAGAGTGTCTTTTCTTTCTTTTTGAGACGAGGTCTCACTGTGTTCTAGGCCAGCCTTGAACTTACTATGTAGTTCAGGCTGGCCTTGAACTCATGATCCTCCTGTCTCAGCCTCCTAGAATAGTGGGGTTATAAGCATGTAGCAGCACGCCTGGCTCAGCGAGTATCTTCATTATCTTCAAATTGCAGTGCCTAGAACTGGTAGAACATATAAAAAGCCACCACACTGAATAACTTTTGAGTTGTACCAATCAGAACTAAAATCACTGCAACAAAACCTTTAATTCACTGCTACCTGGGAATTTATAAGCACTAGGATTAAATGATTGCCTACAGAAGAAAAGCATTTTTCGTTTTACTCAAATACTGTTGTATCTGTTATATTTCTTGATTTGAGTGAGTTCTCTTACGACAAAAAGCCAATTCTGGAAGGGTGATGAACATCAGAAAATACACACCTTGACTGCTGTTGAAAGTTCCAGATGGGGGACTCTGTGTTTTCAACCACTTGGGTGTATACAGGAGATGGCTCAACTGCTGTTGCAAAGGACACACAACAACTGGGTACAGGTACTTTCCGCTTGGTCAAGGGGCTCCCTGAAATAGAATACAGTGGAGTGATCACACTTTAGATGCCAAAAAGAATGTCCTGGAAGAAACCTCCCACGATACAGGTGCAGTCAAGACCACTCCTAGCCATCTCCTGCTTTCGGGTCTTTGCTCAAGCTACTCCCTATATCTGAAATATTTCTAGCAACCTTTCTGCTACTTTACCACTGATCTAGTAAGCCACTTCATTCTGGCTCCCTGGGCCTAAATATTCTCATCTGAAACCTGTTCTCAAATCCCTTCCCACAGTAAAATTCTAATTTTAGATGTATACCAATTATCACTCAGATCTCTTTAATACCACTGGCTCACCAGTCTTGACCCTCAAGTTTTATTCTTGAAACTACTATTTGCTAAAGGCCTTGAAACAAAACCATTTTCACTTTGGAAGAAAACTATTCCTTACTCAGAAATAGTCCTTTAGGCCAAATAGGCAGGTAATGAAGAAGCTGATGTGGGAGAGCAGGTCTATCAGGTTTCCCAGGTTTCCTCTCATGGGTGGAAATTCATCTGGGCCTGTTTACACTTCTGGAAAGGTCAAGTTCTGAAACACTTTTGGAGGTAGGCCAGGACAGAGTCAATGCACCTCCCACAGAGTTGAGACTCACACTGAGAGCAGGTAAGGAGACATGGGGTAAACCAGCTTTACCATTTAAGAGTTTTCACTGAATTTCTTAAGTCTTACATATGTATAAACAGTAGCTTTACGCACCAAGAATGGCACAGTTGTTTCACAATGACAACTTTTAATGCTGGGGTAACACTTTATAGCTGGAACATTGTTTTCTTATACACTGACTTATTCTGATAACACTTCTGGAAATCACATAAGATAGATGCCTTGCTCCGTATTTTCCAAGTAAGGCAACTAAGGAACAGAAGAGCAAAGTGGCTTTCTCACTGCACACCTGATTAACTAGCGTTTGGAAGAACCAGCCAGGTTTCTTGACTTCCCCATGGTTTTTCCATTGTAATATTTGTTTTAACATTAAATAACGAAGGGAAGAATTCCCCTTTGGCCTGAAGTACATGGATGGAAACTTTCCTTTTAAGCAATGACTAATTTTTTTTTTTTGATCTTTTTTTGACACAGGGTCTCGATATGCAGCTCAGGCTGGCCTTGAGCTCACTTTGTAGCCCAGGCTGGTCTTGAACTTGCAACGATTCTCCTGCCTCAGCCACTCGAGTGCTGGGATTATAGGCCTGTGCCACCACGCCCAGTGAGCAATGACTAATTTTGTATGTTATAAAAATTTAATCTAGTTCTACTAAGCTAAGATTAACTGACACCTCCCTGTCACGTGAGATTAGTCAGGTTTGTTTGGGGAGTGCAGGGCCTTCACACTGAGTTACGTCCCCGCCTTTTTATTTTGAGATAAGCTCGGGCTTAGTCTCTAACTTGCTCAGTTTTGGCTGAACTTGTGATCTTGCTGCCTCAGCCCCCCCGTGTTGTGATTATAGTGTGTGACACCACACCTGGCTAAGTCAGGTTTGATTCTTGATCTAGGGGTGACAGACACAGTAATTAATTACAATGCACTAAGAAAGAGATTATGCTAAGAGCACAGGAGGGTGTGGGAAGTTAGAGAGGCCGCTACCGTGGTCTGTGAGTTAAAGTGCACCTCTAGAATTTATGGGTATAACTTTTACTATAAGTCACTTTACCTCTCTGTTCTGCAGTTGCCTCAACTATATAACAGGGCTAGAAACACCTGCATTGTCTAATGTAAGTGCATAAATCTTAGAACTACTGAATCTGATTCCTGCTGACTCTTAAAGGCTCCCCAGAAGCTTTTCTAACTAAAGTTTTTAAGAAGCTCTTTTATTTTATTTTAAAAACTTGTTATTTAGAATTTTTTTATAATCAGGTCAGAGCAATCATCAGGTGGCCACTGATACCAGAATTATGGTGGAGACTGTACAAAGTTTTTTTTTTTTAATCGAGAGATTTCTAATATTCATTTACTTATTTTTGAGACAGGGTCTCGCTCTGTAGTTCAAGTTGGCCTTGAACTATGTACCCCAGGCTGGCCTCAAACTCACAGAGGTCCTCCTGCCTTGGCCTCCTGAGTGCTAGGATTACAGGTATGATCAGAAAATTTTGAAGCTGCTTCAGGTTTAAGTTTTGCTGAGGGCAAAGCTCATAGAGTCCAGGGCTGTTTCTGAATCCTTAGCAGGGAGCCTGGCCCAAAGAAACCATTCATTTCCTTCCACAAGAGGCTTCCAAAGTGTAAAAGGGACAGGCACACTGAGAACTCTGCGGACGGCAGAGGGTAAGCCAATGTGGATACCAAAGAAGCATGCAAACCATCCTATTGTACCATCATTTGGAAGGCACATTTGAAAGACACAAAGGGTAGGTCCATACGCTTAAAGCCCCGAGCACAGTGGCTGACATATAAATGTTTGTCAGGGGAAGGACTACATGGGCTTATTACTGTGAGGGTGGACGTGAGGATATAATAGAGATTTCTGAAAGTCAGGTGATCACCCTGATGTTTGCCTTGACCTGGTGACATAGAAAGATTCTAAGTAATAAGAGATTTATAGGTTATAACTCATGGCAGAGATATGAGGAGGCTCGTTTTCACAAAACAGGAGGACGTTAATTTGTCTAGCTGCATCATAAGGATCAGGGTGCTGGGACACAGAAATAAACAACACATGACTCTTGTCCCCAAGTAATGCACAGCTTAGTGGAAAAACATATTAACAGACATTTTTAGTACAGAGTAGTAAATGACACGAGAGAGGAAAGCTGTGGGAGGGCTGTGGTGATACGGGAAAGCTTTGCAAACAAAGAAGCATGTTTCTTGCTAACAGGGATGGTAAGGTAGGCTGCAAAGTATTGGTGTCACTTTAGTCTACTTTTGGAGGAGGACTAGATCTGCCAAATGGGAGATGAAAAATGCAGTGTTACTGAGACTGTAGGTGAACCAACTACTTTAATCAACTACTTTAATCAATGGAGAGACAGGGTCAGATTTATTGGCCACATACAATCCTGGTGACAGGAAGAAAAGATACTGCAGGAGAACACTGGAAACAACCATCAAGAGGGCCAAGGCATTAGCCCAAGTTCTGAGGGCTAAATAAACAAGGTGGCAGTAAGAAAGGAAAGGAGGTGACAGAAACTATGTAACAGAGCACAATGCTATATCCTGTATTGGACAGAGTGGCTACTTAATAAGTATTTTTTAAGTTATTCCATTAACTTGTTCACAACGGTGCTGTAATTTGAATTTGTCTTGCTGCTGGGCGGCTTGAGCCACTGGTGGAATGTGCATGACTGTTCCATTGGGTGGTTTTTTATTAATTTTATTAGTAAAAAGGCTGAAGAAAATGATTAGATCCGTTTGTACCATCAATGGTACAAGTGCCCAATGGGACAGTCATGCATGTACTACTGGTAGTAAAGCCAGTGGAACGTTATTAATCCAGATAATTTATCTGGCATCTCCTTTAAGAAACTTACCTGTGGGAGAGCAAAGTAGGAAAGCAGAGAAGATATTAAGGAGAAGGTGTTTGAGAGAGGTTTCACTGTTACCTAATTTTTCATTTAACAAATATTTCCTGCTTACTACATGTTAGGAACAGTTCTAAGCATGAAGGATTGACCAGTAAAGAAATCAAAAAAATTCCTGCCTTGCAGGACTTACATTCTTCTAGGAAAGACAGAAAAGAGAACACCTGTTAGATGCTTTAGACAAAAATAAAATTGGGGTGTGATTCAGTGGTAGAGCGTTTGCCTAGCGTGTATGAGCGCCACAAAAGCAAACAACTGGACAACACCACAGCAGGAGAGACGGGTAGAAGATGTTTGGGAAGGGTGCAACTTTGGATGGAGTAAAGAGAATGTCTTCATTATGACAAGATAACTCCAGTAAGAGTGTGCCAGAAGCAAAGAATATTCCGAGTGGAGGGAACGTCAAATCCAAACACCTCAAGACAAGAGTCTGTGCACACACTGACGAGAAAGCACAGAGGCCCTCGGGGCTTGACGAGGATGATTTAGTAGATGGGACAGATGCCCCTGGGAAGCTTCTAAAATGGAATGCAACCAAGTTTTTACATAGTACATTTTATTTTCAATGCTACTACAAAAAATTCTTATAAAAATTAAAGCGATTTTTTCATTAAATCCAATATCTACTGATTATTCTCTTTTTAAAAATTCAGATTTATCAAAAAATGGTCTGCTTTGGTGGTACAGTAAAAAAATAAGGATTGTTTCTCAATCCTGGATTGTGACTCTGGATCTCAGTATCTTTAACACAATAATATGATACAACTGGAGAAGACTGTCCTGACATAAGATGTTCAAGGTCTGTGGTACACAAATATTATGGGACAGATGAGAAGCTTAAGAGTCATTATAGACGCTTATAATCCTGGGAGAAGTGGCATGAATGGGGCAAAATGGGGATGCACCATAACTGTCAGTTACTACCAGCATGAATTCTGTTTTTGTTCCAAAAAGGTCAAATGAAACAGTTTTAGAAGCCAATACAGAGATCATAGGAGACTAACATGGAGTCTAAATAAAAAGATGTATACGAAACCCTTCTGGACTTATGAGACCATGGCTGTCTGGCTTGCACAGCTACCACACTTCTCAAATTGTTAATCACAGACATTTAAGGATGAGAAATTCAAAGAAAGAATGACAAATAAAAAATTATTCAAGCTGGGTGTGGTGGAGCATGTCTGTAATCCCAGCACTTGGGAGGCTAAGGCAGGAGGATTGCTGCGAGTTCAAGGCCAAACTAGGCTACAAAGTGAGTTCAAGGCCAGCCTGAACTGAACAGTGAGACCCTGCCTCAAAAAGACAAAAAAAAAAAAATTATTCAAGACGGGCGTGGTGGCACACACCTGTAATCCCAGCACTCGGGAGGCTGAGGCAGGATCGCTGGAAGTTCGAGACCAGCCTGGGCTACAAAGTGAGTGTAAAGCCAGCCTGAACTGTACGACAAGACTCTGCCTCAAAAAGACCAAAAAACAAAAAAAAAAAAAACAAAAAAAAATTCAGAGAGACACACACACACATACATATCACACAACTTATTGGCTGGGGACACAGAGATGAAGATATTTCTATTAGAATGCAATTTCTACAAGGGCACAGCTCTTGTCCACTTTGTTTACTGCTTTAGCCCCTGAAGTGAGGACAGTGGTTGGCACATAGCAAAAACTACAAGTTCTTTTGCTACATGAGTGAATGTTTGGTGACTGTACCAATAAGATGAGGCCTTTGCTCTTGAACAGCTCCTATCCAGTGGAGAAGAAAATCATGGAAACAATCTCAGTACCATGTGACAGATATTATGATTAAGAGGACAAAAGTGCTGGGGGAACAAAGAAGAGGGGGTCATTATAAATAAAAAGAAAACTCTCCAGATATAACGACACTTAGTCTGGGTCTTGGAATGACTCTGGAATGAGTCAGGCAAAAGAGAAAGGTGATGGCAAAGCACAAATTTTAGGGGATAATGTAAGACTGAATAAAAGTAGTTCTGAGACACAAATTCCTGTGGCAGTCTGGAGAAATCTATGGGCTTTTTCATCTATTAGTGTTTTTTAAAAATGCATAGTGTAAAATTCATATAATTATTAAAAAATCCAATTGTACTGACAGAGTTATCAATACTTAAAAAGAATTTTGTATAATAGAAATATATATGCTTTATTAACAAAATCTAACGAGATAATAGTTACTATAATTTCAAAGACATGATAGATATAAATGATATTCTAAGGTATCTGTAGTAATTATAATGTGATTGGAAAATACCTATGAGTTGTATGTTGACACTATTGTAGTTATTGTTGCTATTATTAGGGTCTGCTGCCCACACTCGTAATAGGATGAAATGTTAAATTTTTTTTTTTTCGTTTTTTTTTTTTTAATTTTAAAGAATAAAAGAAGGATAACATAATAATAGGGGGGACTTAGCAAATTACACACAAAATGGTAGGAAATTATCAATGGTTATCGTTTTATATATTATTATCTACAAAATAGTTTCTCAGGAAAACAAATAGACAAATAATAGTGAGTTAGAGACAAAAGTAAATTTTAATTAGAGGTTAATAAAAAGAAAAATGTATTTTTCTATCCAAGATCTGTGTTTTATACCTATACTCCTTGAGGGCTTAGGGACCTAGTGTTAAGCATCACCATTTCTAGGTATGTGCTGAGGACCTCAATGGATAGGAATGACAAAGCAAGAAGAGATCTGTGAGAAACTTAAGAGACAGAAGAATTTAATAGACGTGAAAGGAAAAGAGAAGTATCTAGGCTGATGCTCAGGTTTCTGGAGAATCTGACAGAAAACAAAAGGATAATTGACAAGGTCAATTTTAAGTTCAGAAAGGCTTTTGTGCTACTTAAATCATTAGGTTTGAGAAATACAGTAATTATTAAGATAATTAACCATTTGTACAGATCCTGCCATGATTTGGATTGGTGAAGATAGGACCATACCCTGAGGAGTCAGGCATCTCCTGGGTAAGGGAGCAGAGCATACCTTTCAAGCTCAAGTGCATCGCTCTTTCTACCAGGATGCTGACTGCAAAAGTCCCGTCCAACTCGGGAGGGTCCTCCTGGGCTAGGCAGACTTCAGCTGCGGTGCTGTTGCAGGGAACCTGGGTAGACGCAGACTTCTGGTGGCCACAGCGTGGAGAGAGCTCCATCTCCTCATTCCCTCTGGGAGGCTGCTCAGACTCACTGTGGCTGCTGCAGTCCATGGAGTCCCCCTCATGAGTGGGCTCAGCGTGTGGGGAAAGAGAGGAAAGAACCACATGCACTCGCAAGGCAGCTCCTGAGAGGTTAGAAGCATTTCGTCCAAACAGAGGATACACACCTGTTAGAGAACGGAGAAGAATAAGCCTATGTAAGCAGGAAACAGTAACATTCTCCAATCTACTTTTGAGAAAGAGTCTTGCTATGCAACTTGCTTCAATCCTCCTGCCTGAACCTCTGAGTTCTGGGATGACAGGTGTATGCCACCACTCTTGGCGACACTCTTTCATCTCTGAGGAAATATTCACTGGGGGTGCTTTGGATGGTCACCCAAATGCACTCGTTTTTCCTCTTTTAGTCTGGGTCATCTGTCCAACAAAACGGTCAGAGCGCAAGTGTAACAGGGTTAAAACAGGGTCATGACTCAGTTTCTTCAATTGTAAAGTGGGAAAAATAACTAACCTTACAGATTGTTAAGCTGAATAAACGCCATAGTTGTAAAGTGAACAGAACATATCTTTCAAGCTCCAAGTCATTCTGCATTATAATCACCAGCCTTGTTTTTCTACAGTGCAAAGCTATATCTCACCTCTATTCTGAAAACAATGTAATAGTTTCCCATGGCTCTTGGAAAAAAGTCCAATCTCTTCTGTTTAGGTGAAAAGTCTTCAATTAGCACTCTCGTCTACCTGTCTAACTTTATCACTTCCTAACCTATGTATCCTGTGATCCAGCTGTCCACATTATTTATAGCATCTAAAATGTATTCAATTGCTTCATGCCTCTGTGCCCTCACACATGCACTTACCCCCTCTAGAATTCCTTCCTTTCTCCCTTTCTTGGTTTATTTCTAAATTCTTTGAAACTCAGGTCAGGTATGCTATCCTTTAATCAAAGATGTTGCATCCCTTTGTTCCCAGAGCACCAGTGAAAATATGTTTTCCAAGCCAGGCGTGGTAGCACACACCTATAATCCCAGCACTCAGGAGGCCGAGGCAGGAGGATTGTTGCAAGTTTGAGACAGCCTGGGTTACAAAGTGAGCTCAAGGCCAGTACAAACTGCATTAGCGAGACTGTCTCAGAAAGAGAATAAAAAAGAAAAACAGAAAATATCTTTTCCAAAGTTCTTATGTTTCACTATAATTATTCACTATTTTATTTTCCCATTAGATTATATAGTGAATGAGGCCAAGTAATATTTCTATTTATCTTTGAATTCCCAGCACATGAATCAAATACCAAGCAATCTGAAAGAACAGTAACTGCCACATACTACTTATAAAATGTTATCTTTTATCTCTCTGCCTTGTGAGCCAGTTTATTACTGTGTAGATTTTCTTTATGATTCTAGGATGTACTGACCAGAGAGAATGAATATCCTGCTCCCTTTGGTATCTTTTTTTTAAAAAATTGTGCGCCTATAATGTGCATGGACTTTATTATTAGACACTGGCAAGTATCTTTGCAATGTAATCAATAAGCCATCACCCTAGAAATCACGTAGGCTTTTATACATGTGGGAAAAGGTACTACTCTAAGTTTAATCAATCTTATTTCATACATATTAACCAAGTACCCACAATATTCTAGGTACTGTGTTAGATGAAACACCGATGAACTTGGATGCACTCTACTGCTACAAAGCTCAGAGCCGGTTCTTTGATCTGTGGTGACCCCAACAAGGTACTGTAACCAGGGAATGCCAGCCAGGGGATCGTTCTTTGAAATCTCTTTAGTTACAAAAAGTATTACTGAATTATTACTAACTGTTCAGCATGTAATAATGGAAAGAACACGTAACTAGCTTGTGACCTTGGATACCTTTCTGAGCCTCCATTTTCTTTCTTTTTTTTTTTTTGAGACAGGGTCTCACTATGTAGTTCAAGCTGGCCTTCAAATCACTATATACCCCAGGGTGGCCTCAAACTCACAGTGATCCTCCTGCCTCAGCCTCTCAAGTGCTAGGATTACAGGTGTGAACCACCATGCCTAGCTCCCTCTGAGCCTCCTTTTTCATGACTGTAAAATACATGTAATACCTACCCCGCAGGATTGTTGGGAGGATCAAATAATGTGGACAGAGTGCTGGACAGAGAGCAGGTGCTCAAACTATAAGAACTAAGCCTGGTTCCTCACTTACCACTGACAGTTAGTGTCCTTGCTGACTTCTCCCCAAGTCTGGCCAAGTCCACGTAGGCTGATCCAATCCAGCTGTCTGTCTGGTGGGGCCTCTCCATACTATCACTGCCATAAGCTCGCCACACTTGGATCTCTAGCCTCTCCTCCCTGAAGTACCAAAGCAGTGATGGGCCCCGAGTGACTTCTGCTCTTTTAGATGCCTTGAAAGTAACCATGACCTGGTTTTTGTTTGCAGATTCCTTAGGCTTCTTGAGAGGGGTCCAGAAGGCTTCATGATCATATAGTTTATAGCGAAGGTAACAATAAGTACTCTTATGAATATGTTTGTGGCCAGCAAGCAGCACGCAATGGATGGGCAGCCACAGTCTTGGAGTGGAGATGGTGACCATGGCTAGTTCTTCTTCATCTGTCTTGACAAGATCCTTCAAGTTATTTTCAAAGCTCCAGCCCAATAGTTCAGCAGCTTCCAGTACCCGCTCTCTATCTCCAGGACGGGTGAAGGAAACTGAAAGTTCCAGACCACCCACAACCTTCTGCATAAGCTCCAAGCCATGAGGCAGGCCTGTGTTTTCTGGTAAAAGGACAGGATACCATCCTGTGATCCCTTACGGGAGAAAGGAAAGATTTTCAATTACTGTCTTAAAAGTAAACAAAAGGGCTGGTGATATAGCTCAGTAGCACAGCACCTGCCTAGCAAGCATGAAGTCCTGAGTTTGATTCCCAGTACCCACCCCCCCAAATAAACAAAAAACACCCCATCTATACCTAATTCTCCATTATCCTGGCCCAGCGAAGAACAGAAAACATAAGGCCACAATGAACTGAGTTTGTCTTTCATCTGACCACTGAGAGGCAATGAGATTAGATGGGAAAAACAAAGGCTGGAAGTTGGAAGATCTGAATTCTCTCCTTGGCTCAGTCCAAAACTAGTGATCCAAATCAGCTTTCTGTGTAAGCTGTTATTTTTCCAAAGCTTTGATTTCTTTACCTCACAAATGGGGAAATTCATGCTAATCATTTTCAGCAAGTTTCGATAACTGCTAAATGAGCCAATGGTTGAGGAAGAGCTTTGAAAGAAAAATGCTATGAAAGGTGTGATATGGAACTGTGAGTACAGCGGAAAGACATGGGCAAAAAGTCAAGAGATCTGTAGTCTGATCTCAGGTATTCCACCAAGGGAATTGTCACCTTGTAAACATAAGGACCAGGCACTAGATTTCAAAGTAATAACAGCTGTTCTTTATTATCTATTAAATTTCAGAAATTCTGCTAATAATTTATATACATAATTTAATTTCTCTGATAACTCTATGAAGTTCTAAAGATTAAATTGGATAATCATTTTACATTTATTTTACAGATGAGAAAATGGAAGTTCAGAGACTTGACCAAGTTATTACAGTTAATAAGTCATAGAATTAGGACTTGAACCCAGGTCTATCTGGCTCCAAAGTCTAAAAGTTTACTTCCTCTAGCTTTACACTATTTTATCTGAATCTGTAAGGGACAGACTGATTTTTGAACTTTGAATTTTACAGATTTTAGAACAAAATGAGTATTATGTAACAGTCTGGCTTTTCTCTGGTACCAGGAACCGAACTCATGACCTTGCGCTTGCCAGGCAGGCGCTTTTGCCGCTGAGCTAAATCCCCAGCCCCTATGTAACAGTCTGGGAGCAGGTAAGTCAGGGGTTGGCAAAGTTGGTCCATAAAAGGCCAGATAGTAAATATACTTCATAAAGCATTTTCTGTCTGTTGAAACTATTCAACTATGCAGTTGTAGTGACTAAGAGCCACAGATAACATAGACACCAATAGGCATGGTATGCTCCAATAAAACTTTAGATTACATAAAAGGCTGCTTGAATCTTTTGGGGGAGGTTGGGTTTGGCTGCATAATGAGTCACTGATTTTTGGAGTTTTTTGGATTTTAGAATTATGCAAGACAGGTTGTGCCTAGTATAATACAGCAATGTTCTGAACTAGGTTTTATTAATTACACTTTTCAAATGAGATGATTTAGCCAATTAATTTGCCAAACATTACATGAAATTTAATAACTTTTAGGCAGTCATTTAATTTCTTCTTCTGGGCTTCCTAGCTTCTGTCTGTGAAATGAGGAGGCTGAAAATGTTGATCTTCAAGCTCCTGTTAGCTTGGACAGTCTAATAAATGAGGACTGGCTGTAGTAACTTCTCATCTGAATATTAGTTCATCTATCTATCTATCTATCTATCTATCTGTCTGTCTGTCTGTCTATCTATCTATCTATCTCTTACCTACCTAACTTTTTGAGACAGGGTCTTACTATGTAGTTCAAACTGGCCTTGATCTCACTATGTAGGGCAGGTTGGCCTCAAACTCGAGGCAATTCTCCAACCTCAGCTTCCCAAGTGCTGGGATTATAGTGCCACCACACCCATGAGTTCTTTCTCTTTTGCATTTTTTGTGGTACTAAGGATTGACTCTTAGGCCTTCACATTGACCAATGTCTCCAGCCCTTTTTAAAATTTAAAAAAATAGTTTTTTTGAGACACGGTCTTGCTAAGATACTAAGTTGCCTACGCTTGGCTCAGACTTGTAATCTTCCTGCCTCAGCCTCCCACAGTGCTGGGATGACAGGCCTGTACCACCATGTCAGGCCTACTTCTTTCTAACATTATTTGGTCACAGATTCCTTTTGCTTTGATGAAAGCTATTAGAGCACAAGAAAACTGTACAAGGGCTTGTACATGACTAATCTCACACTTGCATTTTAGAACTGCTTAGATTAGATTGTCCCTTTGGCTGTGATTCTGTAATTGAGATTACTGACAGGAGGACAGACAGAATGTTCAGTTTAGAACACTGAATACAAAGGCAAATGATACTATAGATCCTAAGTTGTCTAAAAGGTCTATATTTAAGGAGTAAATTTTAATTTGTAGAGATTTAGAAGACGACGCCTACTCCCTGAAAAACTCTAATAAGTTTCAGAAGGAAGGAGCTGAAGTGTTCTAGGTTTCTAGCCCTATGACAAGGTCTTTCACATGTATAATTTCAGTGAATGTCCCCAGAGTCCTGTAACGCAGATCTTACTTCCATTTTTACAGATGAGGAAACTGGATCTGAGAGATGAAGTAACTTGTTCTAGATCACAAATAGTAAGTGGCAGAGTGAAATTTGAGTCCTGTATCAAGTTGTACAGGTTTCTCTGGCAGGTCATATGCAGGTCCTGTTTATTAGTACAGTGCTCAAATTTTACTTCACAATTAAATTTGCAGATGTGATTGGATTCTGGAGGCTAGATTATACAATCCTAGGAAGACGGGCAACTGGAGGAAAACATTTATTGAGTACCCATTATGTGTCATGTACTTTGTCTTATTATATCAATTCCTGCTTTGTAGATTTGTCAGGATTAGTAACAGCTAAGAAGAGTTGGGCTCAAACAGGTCAAATAACTTGGTCAGGGTCACCAATCAGTAGTAAGTAGGATGGGACCAATATTTCCACATTGCCTTGGGTCTTATGTCTATTCTTTTGGGCTTTTATCTCATACCCTTAATTTCTTCCTCAGTGATGGAGGACAGTAGTGAAAAATAATGAGGGAAATTGGATTTGGTTTCAAGTTCTGCTATTTACTAGCTGTGTGGTTTTGACAAATAACTTCTCCGAGCCTGTTTTCTCATTTGTCAAGTGAAAATAACAATATTCTGTATCCTTGCCAGGCAGTTATCATAAAGTTGAAACAAGATCTGAAAAAATATTTTACAAAGTGTTATTATTACAATTATATTGCCACATTCACCACCACCACCACCACCACCATCATGATGTTCCCTAAGGGAAAATGAGTACACTGTTTTCAGCCTCTTTTGTTTTATTAGAAGGCCTTTAGAGTGATTAGGAAAAACCTTAAAATGCTCTTAAAAAACTTTGAGGTCCCCAGAAGAATTCAGAAGCACGTGTTAAGGGGAATTTTCTTCTGCATATTTTGCAAGGCATTCAGACAAGATCACCTCTTGAAGGGAAGTGAATAGGCAGGGGTAGAAAGTGATAATTCAGGGTCCTTACCAGATCTCTTGACTAGGAGCTCTTTTGTTGGAATCTTCACTACTCCGAGCAGATACTCTTTGCATGACTGGATACTGGCTATATCACTGACTGTTAAATTAAGAAAAAAAAAGAGAAGAAAAATTATTTGGTGGTCTACTGACCAAATCTTGTGTTTATAGTATATTCACATAACCCTTCACTTATATTCACTGTATTTTAGCCTTAAAAGATGCATTCAAGATTATCCTGCTTATATTCTAAACAAAGTCAGAATGCCCTTGGGAAAAACATTTTTTTTGTATTTTTTTTGAGACCAGGTCTCCCTATGTAGTTCAAATTGGCCTTGAATTCATGATGTAGCCCAGACTGTGGCCTTGAACTTGTAGTGATCCTCCTAGCTCAGCCTCCTGAGTGGATTACAGGTATATACCACCACATCTGATGCCCTTGAAAATGTCTGAACATTTTATTTTGAAAAATTGCAGGCATACAGAAAAGTTGCAAGAATATTACAGTGAACTGCTATACATCCTTTATGAGATTCACCCATTAATATCTGTCCACAATTTCTTTGTTTCCAGGCTATCTCTAAATTCCCTTATATATACATAGAATATATAATATTTTGCTATATTGTTCAAAAATAACTTGAAAAGATTATAATTTCTCACCTCTAAATGCTTCAGCATCTATCTCTTAGGAAGGGCTATATCATGTACAACAGCCACTTTAAAAAAAATTCTGTTTTGAGACATTTGGTGCTCACCTGATTTGGTATTTTCATGATAGACTGCAAAAGTAATTTCTGCAAATTCTAAGAGCTCTGCCAGGAAACAGGCTTCTCCACTACAGTGCTGAGTTACCAAGTTACATGGGAACTCAATGTGATGCGAGAACTCAGGGCAAAAGGAACAGGCCACAGGACGGGTTTGGCGCTGTTCTCCCTTGGGCAGGAATGAGAGATGAGCAGTGACCGAGGCATTGACCCCAACGGTGGCACTAAACTGTAGAGCGGGTTCCTGTTCAGCCAAAGCCCTGTGGGGAGAGGAGTGGAAATGAGAAGAAGGTACACACCTTGGTATTATTAGAAACCAGCCTGCCCAGAAACTATCTCTGCTACTTCCTGATTGCCTAGAAACTATCTCTGCTAAGACCCCCAATACTAACCAATAGTAAATTTCTACCTAAGCTTTTGGCAATGTCATAATGTGCTTTATTAGTAATCTAGAGTACTTGCGTGGGGGGTGGGCGGTTAATATTCATCTGTCTATCAGAATGACACATTGGGTCACTGTACTGTCAGTGCCCTTTAGTCAAAGACCAAAGGAACCAATGGCAGTTAAACAAGTTGCATTTGCTGCTCACTGCAATAATGAAAAATATACTATGGGGAACTACAGAGCATCTCAGGTATCAGAAAGGACTGCAGCACTGAACTCACATTAGCCAACTTGGGGGAAGGCGCAAAGGAGCAAGGCTTTGTTCTGTACAGTTTTCTTTTGGGTCTTATCTATAAGGAGGAAAAGCTAAAGTTAAAGCTGCAACTCCACTGAGACTGTTAATCCATGTCAATGTCAATGGATTAAGAAACATCTAGCTGACTAGTAGAGCACACTCCTGGGTGTGTCTAGGCATACTGCTGAGGCATGGCCTTGGTACTATATATGGTCCCTCGTGAGTTTCTCTCCCACGCTCTTTCCCTGCTCTGCTTCCTGGCTGCCATAAACTAAGCAGCTTTTCTCTGCCGTGCCCCTCTGCCATGATGCCCCTGCCTTGGAACCTGCTGATCATGGACTGAAATCATGAGCTAAATTAAACCTTTCCTCCTTTAACTTGTGGTGTTGGGTATTTTGTCCCAGTGATGGGAAAGTGACTAATGCAGCTGCCTACATGTAGGAAGAAATAACAGTAGGCTGCAAATGTGACAAAATCTTAAGGAGAATAAGACTTTAAGTAGATATACTGAGGGAGAACGTTAGACGCCAAGAGAAGTATAACAAAGAGATGAAGGAGGTGAAAGAATGGGCCACCTGTTCTTCTGCAGAGAGTGTTCTGGGCAGAGAAAACAGTATGACAAAAGCCCTGAGGGAAAAATGTGCCTGGAGTGTTCAGAAGCAACAAGGCCAGTGGCCAGAGTTGAGCCAACAGAGGAGAGACTAGCTGGAAGAGATGAGGTCACAAAGATAAGTGGGGTCAAACCATGTGGGATCTGATAGCCATTTTAAGGGCTCTGGTTTTTACTTTGAATGAGATGGAAAGTCACTGGAGGGTTTTAAATAGACACATGTCAAGGTCTGACTTCAGTTTTCATAAGATCACTGGTCATTATGTTGAGAACAGAGAGAACAGGAATGAGATCCTGGAAAAACAAGAGGTGGCATTCAGGGCCTGAAATGTGTGAACCTGAGCTTATAGAGGAACTGCAGCGATTGGGCATGGTGTGGTTTGGGGGTAAAGTATATGACCATAGGGGTAGGTGGTTGTGAAAGGCAAGCATAAAATTCTTGGAAAAGGGGGCTGGGGATTTAGCTCAGCGGCAAAGCGCCTGCCTGGCAAGCGCAAGGTCGTGAGTTCGGTTCCCAGTACTGGAGAAAAACCAAAAAAAACAAAAAAAAAAAAAAAAAAATTCTTGGAAAAGATCAAGAAACCAAATTGCAATAACATTATGGTAAAGTCTTTAAGTGATTTACTCAAAATTTTGAAAAGTTTTCTTAACAGTCAAAGAGTTGTGGTTGGTGAACTGGGAACTGTACATAAGAAAGTTCAGGCACATCTGGGCATCATCTTGTGGGGACTACAGTAGAAAAAGGTTTGAAAATTGCTTTCTAAGGTGGACTTACTTGGCTGCTGCTTGCAGTCCGCAGGCTCTGATAATGTGGACAGAGATGGAGACAGTTCGGGCAGCAAGAGCTCCCTCTGCTGTTCTTGGACTACGCCGGTACCTTATGCCCACATCCAATAAACCTGAAGAATGAAGACAAACAGGAAAAGATGAAGATTGGTTAGAAGAGTTTTTGTTCGATAAAACCACGAAGTCCTGGTCAGGAATGCAGAAAGAGAAGAAATCCTGCAATCCTAGTGAGTGATAAGGGGCCTTAACAGAGAAGCTGTTCATGGTCAGAACCACATTCAATATTGCACCGTAGTGTTAACAACCATGTGCTGTCTTTTAGTAAAACAATTCTACCCTCCTACTGTCTTGTTTCAGAGAAAGCTAAGCAATAACACAACAAGCTGATCAGTGAGGGGGAGGAGGATATGGCAGGATAAGACCTTTTGTTTTGGTGGATGCTCTTCAGCAAGGATGTATAGCTACTTGATTTAGGAAACTTGTCCTAGCTAAAACTCAGATATACTGACAGAACTAACAGGTTATCATTCAAAATTCCAAATTTTAGTCAATCTCCTACAATTTGAATCCTAACTTTCTTCTCCTTACAGTGAATTACCAGCCCAAACTCACTATATTCCATCATTCCCACATATTATTGTCTTAGAATAGTACTCTGAGTGTACCTATATAATACGTAGAATCAATGCTATGAAGACTTACTAAATGCTTAAGTTTAAGGGAAATGAGTGAAGAATCACTAATTCAGAGAGAAAAGGGATATTTATGTATACTGATTTTAAAAGGGAAAGACATATTAGTCTTCAATCACCTGATGACTGGCTCCTCAATTCTTTGCTGTTCTCAAACCTGGGGGTTAAAGGGAGATTAAAGGTCTGTATTCCCACATCCTCACGGTGCTGCACGGTTACCATGGCACAGATCCTCGATAATGGCAAGGTTCCTTTGGCAACCATCTGGTCTCGCACATTAGGATAATAGTATCTACAAACCACAAAAGCACAAGCTGTCAGTTGGAAGAATTAGGTGGCTGAACGATTCAGTCTGTCCCAGGGATTAACTTTCAATATGTACTTATTTTTGGAGCCTGATTGTTCTCTATTGGTAGTATCTAATTGTGATTGTATCTGACTGGACTTACTTCCCATTACATTATATGAAGAAGCATCCCCATAAATTATTCCGAGTTCAGGACAAAGCCCACCTTTCAACAGACTCTGTTTGAGGTATCTGTCTTAGACTTCTGGGAGTACACTTCCTAAAGCTTCTACCCTGCAGCAGAAAAAAATGGATCTAGGTGGAGCAGACTAAAACTTTTTCATGGCTCAGCTTTGTCTCTTAAGGCCTAGGCCCTTCTCATTTGGAGGAGTAATGAATATTTGTCAGTGCTTACCCTATTCCTTTCTCATGGCAAAACAATTTATTCTTGGATTATAAAGTCAAGCTGCATGTGGCAGCACCCACCTGTAATCCCAGCACTCTGGGAGGCTGAAGCAGGAGGATTACGTTTGAGCCCAGCCCAGGAAATTCTGCAAGACCATGTCTCAAAAAAGGCTGGGGATATAGTGCAGTGCAAATGCCCTGAGTTCAGTTCCCAGTAGTGAAAAGAGAAAGTAAATCAAACCTAGATGGTTTTAAAATTCTGTTTTTCACTTGATTTCTTACTTAATTTAGGAAAAGTTCTGACATGTAATAACTCTTCCCTAGTTCTGTTCCTGATGCTTTCTCTCTTTTTTTTTTCCATTCAGTACTGGAGATTGAACCTAGGGGCTGGGGCATACCAGGAAAGTACTCTACCACTAAGCTATATCCCCCTACCCATTTTTATGAGACAGGGTCTAACTGCCCAGGGTGGCTTTGAAGTTGTGATCATCTTGCCTCAGCTCTTGAGTTGTTGGGTTTACCAGAGTACACTATCACGCCCAGCTTCTTTTCTTTTACATTTACATAATCTTTTTAGTTGGTTTCTTGGAAGTGTAGACACAAAGGTGAAGACTGAGTATCTATACTTATGCCAGTGTATTTTCTGGAAATCATCTAACAATTTCTGTAACATTCAGTGGGATTGTATTTTGTGAAGGCTACTCTTCAGGTGGTATAAAGAATAACTTCTAGGGGCTGGGGTTTAGCTCAGTGACACAGTGCCTGCCTGGCAAGTGCGACGTTGTGAGTTTGATTCCCGGTACTGGGGGAGAAAAAAAAAAAAAGAATAACTTCTAAGAAATGTGTTTAGAAGTGGAGAGATCCAGTTGGGAGGCTATCACAGTAGTCTAGCATCATATGGTGTGGGCCTGAGTTTAAAGTTTTTTTTGTTTTGTTTTGTTCTTTGGTACTGGGAATCGAACTCAGGACCTTGCTAGGCTGGCACTTGTGTTGCTGAGCTATGTCCCCAGCCCCTGGGCCTGAGTTTCAATAACGTACTGAGAAAAGCCCAAAAGTGATTGATACTTAAAAGACAAGAGGAGGTAAAACTAGTAAGACCTTACTTCCAATGCAGGCAAGGTTAGAAGTATGAGATACAACTGCTCCCAAAATCCTAACAAATTTCAGTGAAAAATAGACAAGGGTCTCTGTCAAGTAAAAAAAATATAAAAGGAGGCAGAAGGGGCTGGTCAGCCACCTTACAATAATTCTACCTTGGCTGGAAAGGATAGGATGCTTTATGATTGTGCACTTCCTTCAGAGGCATAGGACGGGGTTACCATGCTATACCTGCACCAGACTTCAAACTGGACTCCACCTCCAGGCACGAGCCCCTGTGCAGAGAAGGCACTGAGGAGGAGCCTTTGCACTGGAACTTCAGCGGGCAACAGGAGAGTATGATGGTGCTCACTGTTAAAGATGGGATCTGGAATGCAGAGTGTGGTTGCAGTTCTGAAGGGCTTCAGTGTAATTCCTTTGGAAAAGAAAAGCAGTTTAGAATATTCGACGCATATTTGGTATTTTATGTGTAGTAGGATGGTACTACTTATATATACAGTATTTCAATTTTATCCTCACAGTTATTACTGTTATTTCACAGATATTCCTACTGTTATTTTACAGATGAGCACACAGATACCTTGAGAATACATAATTAATGTCTTAGAGCAAGTAGGTCCCAGACTTAGAATCAGGACCTATATTTTATGACTGTTATTCTATTTTTATTGATTGACTGAGGCAGGCTCTTGATATATAGTTCAGCCTGGCCTTGAACTCACTATGTAGCCCAGGCAGACCTCAAACTCATGGTGATCCCCCTATCTCAACCTCCTGAGTGCTGTGTGCCACCATGCCTGGTTGGTATTCTTACCAAAGCCCATTTCCTTAATGCAGGGGTGGCAAACTTATGGGGTGTGTGTTGTTTTTAAGACAAAAGATGTTAATGTACAAGTTTTTTTTTTAAAACTAAAGCCTCAGTATTCAGGTTTAATTGTAGTGTTGGCACTTTGCGATAAATAAGTAAGCTTTGGTTGCAGTTTGGCCAATCGTCTCTAAAAGGTTCATCATCACTGCCCTAATGGCTATGGTCTCATAAGTTCTTATGATAATACAGAAGAGATCCCTTTGTTTATGGACAATGTTCTGGGGCTCCAATTTCTCACATCCTGCCAATACTGTTAGTGTCCTTTTCTTTCTTTTTAAAATTATCGCTATTTTGGTGGGTATAAATGGTGGTTTGGATGAGCATTCCCCACATGACTAATGATGCTCAGTATCTGCTATCATTATTTGTCTCCAAATGGTTCAGATGCTGGACGCTCAGTCCCATAGGAGCAGTGATCTGAGAGGTGGCAGAACCTTTAAGAGGTGAGACCAGTTGGAGGTGGTCAGATCACTGGTAGTGCTATCCTCAGAAGAAATTAATGCTGGTTTCATAGAGCAAGTTAGTTTTGTGAGAACAAGTTATCATAAAGTGAGACCAACCATGTGCTTGACTCCTATGGCATACAGACATCTCTGCCCTGCTTCTCATCAAGTTGTCATATAGCCAAAGAGGCCTCCAAATTTGGACTTCTGGCCTCCAAAACTGTCAGTTAAATAAACCTCTTTATAAAGTACCCACCTTCAGGTATTTTATTATAGCAACAGAAAACAGACTATTATAGTATCTTTATATGTGCTTATTAGCTACTTGTGTATCTTTGGAGAAATGTTTATTCATTCCTTTGCTTAGTTTTCCACTGGGCTGTTTTTTAAGAGTTACCGATATGTAAGATTTTTAAATATACTCTGTATATACACTTCTTATTTGAATCCCCAAATCAATATGGGCAGGACCTGGTAGTCATTCATGGACATGTACAGTCATTTGTGGACATGTACAGAATGATGAAAACTTTTGATTTGCCAGATTTGCTCACTTTCAGTAGAGATCACATAAGACAAGCATCCGCCTTCTTGGTTTAACTCTCACAGGTGATCAGAAAATGGAGATGGTAAGGTCAGAGCAATGTAGTACAAGAAATTCTAGCTCTGCTTCCAAATGAACAGGATTTGAATCTCCACTGCTGCTTGTTCGACTTGCTACGAGCAAGTTATCTAATACTGAATCTCATTTTGTTTTTTATGAAAAACAAACAAAAACCAAAAGAATATAGAAACTAACCAGGATCCTTGCTTGTAGGAGTTAAGATTCTGATCTGTGTGAGACACGTATGTACACGTTTTCTTTTAGCAGTAATGATTTGGAATTTCTGAATTTCCTAAATTGCTCATAGTGACTGTACAGATCATAACTACCATGGACAGTAAGAGTCAGTCATATGTGACTAAAACGACATGCACATAAATTATACAGACTCAGATAAAATGTAAGTAATTGGTAGCTCTAGACAAAGGTTATAAAGAAATTTTTTGTCTTTTTTTTGAGACAGGGTCTCACTATGCAGTTCAGGTTGGCCTCAGACTCACTTTGTAGTCCAGGCTAGCCTTGAACTCACTTTTTAGTCCAGGCTGGCCTCAAACTCACAGCAATCCTTCTACCTCAACCTCCTGAGTGCTGGGATTACAGGCATGCACCACCACACCTAAGAAATTCTTTGTACTATGTTCTTTTCTTTCTTTTCATTCTTTCTTTCTCTTCTTCTTTTTCTTTCCTTTTTCTTTTCTTCTTCCTTCTTTCTTTTTCTTTTTCTTTCTTTCTTCTTTCTCTTTCTTTCTTTCTTTCTTTCTTTCTTTCTTTCTTTCCTTCCTTCCTTCCTTCCTTCCTTCCTTCCTTCCTTCCTTCCTTCCTTCCTTCCCTTCCTCCCTTCCTTCTTTTCTTTGTTTCTTTTTAATTTTGAGACAGGGTCTTGCTGAGTCATTAAGTTGCATGGGTTGGCCTTGAACTTCAAATTCTCCTGCCTCAACCTCCCAGAGTGCTGGGATTACAAGCATGCATTTCCATGCCTGGCTCTTTGTACTACAGTAAGTCCTCGACTTATAAACCTTGAGTTGTGACACTGATATGACTGGACCTCACATTATGAAGATTCATAGATGTGGACAAATCACAGAAGTAGCTCATGTGTCTACTCTGCCATTTTAAGGTAACTGTAAAAGTAAAAATAGTTTATAGTAAAAATAGTTTATTTTTTTGGTGTGTGGTTTGGCTTATACTTTATATTGTATATTTGTGTCAAAGGTGTATAAGACTCAACTTTGGCAGACTTATTCTGATTTAGGAACATTCTCCCAGAACAGACCTTGTTTGTTACTGGGGACTTACTGCATTTGTGTGTTCTGTAAATCTGAAATCACATCAAAATAAAGTCACAGGATGGGCATGGTGGCACATTCCTGTCACCTTAGCACTCTGGGAGGCTGGTGTAGGGGGATCTTAAGTTTGAGCCCAGCCCGGGCTACTGAACAACTTAGTGAGACCAAGTCTCAAAATATAAAACGGGCTGAGGAGGTAGCTCAGTGAGAAACCTATAGGCTCAATCTCCAGTACTACAAAATAAATAAAATTTACTTAGTCCATCTCCTGTTTTATTGCCTAGCGAACACTAGAAACATTCAGCAACACAAAATCCACTCAAGAAAAAGTATTTCATAAGTATGTCCAATAAAAGAACTATACAGGAATGAAAGCACCTAGCTGGGCATGGAGTGCATGCCTATAATCATAGCACAGAGCAGGCTGAAGCAGGAAGATCATGAGTTTAAGGGCAGTTTGAACCACAGAGTTCAATACATAGGTGTCCTGGACAACATAGTGAGATCCTGTCTCAAACAAACAAACAAAAACAAAAAAGAAAGAGAACTCCTAATTGACCAAACTTACCATTTTCAAGGAACTCAGGTCCTCTGAGCACACTGGACTGCGAGTCTTGAAATGGAAAATAGTACTGGACATAACAATCTGCTTCTCCCCAGACTGTTGCCTGAAGAGGGACTAGCCCTTTAACCATCTCTACACGGAACTCAAAGTGGTGCTCCATCAACCCACTTCCTTGGTCCTCTGCCTATTAAATGACAGAAACACTGGTGAGCTTTAAAGAGTGACTTGCTTAAAACATTCCTGCTTCTTGATGAAGCCTGAGTATAGATGAAGTAAGTGAACTAACATTAAAACAGGTACTTAATTTACTTGCACTTAACTCTCACAACTGCTCAGGATAAACAGATCAAGCAGGATTTTCTCTAGAACATGACACTGACTTCATACTAGGAAATCCATAAATGTGATTCTATGCATTAATGGAATAAAGGTAAAAAACCAGTTCAACATCAATAAATGCTGAACAGGAATGTGGTAAAATTCAACATTTGTTTCATGAAAGCTTTTAATACACTTTAATAGGGAAAAGAACACATATATTTGAAACAAACAGGTACTAATTTACTTAATTACTCTCTCTAGAGACCCTGGGAAAGTCCAATAACAGTAAGGACTACTTAGGGAGGCAGTGAATACACCATTACTGCAGGTGTAATTACTATTAAAGATTAACTATGTATTTATCGAGTATTTACTGCGAGCCTGGCATTGCACCAAGTACTTCATTTGTATTACTTAATTTAGCATGCATGGTTAATAACAGCAAGAACCAGGGTTTCGACTCAGGTAGGCTGATTCTGAAGCTAGTGTTCTTTGCCTTTATCCTATGCAGCCTCTGCAGACATTAGACAACTGGTTATTCAAAGGGGAAAATTCAGGACTCAGATAAGAGACAGAATAAGTTATGTATTCACCACTGTATGAGCCAATAAATCTGGAACAGTGGCTCTATTAGGTCTTTGCTTTGAAATCTAAAAACATGCTAGCAATACCTGCTCAAAAGCTTTCCAAAAATTCTCCTAGAAAACTTGCATTTTGATTTTCTGAGTGAAAAAATTGGTGTGGGGGTGGAGGAATTGCTCAGAGCTATAACAGCTGCTTGATTTGATCATACAGTGTTACAGTAATTTAACATTTCAGTTCCACAGATGATGAAATTGAGCAAAGCTATTGAGTATGGAGGGAGAAATCAATCATATTTATAGATATATAACCTCACAAGCAAGCCTTTCAAGTATTTCCTCTGTGTTCCTAGTAAGAAATATTTTGTAACCTTTAGTATGGAATTTAACAAAGTCCGAGCGAACACTGCAAAATGGGAGCGCATATAATACTTAACCAGACTTGGGCATATTATAGGTAATTTTTCTTTACTTGTGTAATTTCAATTAGAAAAACACCATTTAATTTACCGATAGACATTAGTATCTAACAAATAGCAAAGGTTTAGAGTTCATAACATACAAAGAACCATAATCTGCTAGTAGATATTTTTCTGATACAGACACTTAAATTTGTCCTTCAGGTTCAGATTAAAGAACATAACATACTTAAAAGGTGTGGAGATAGTGATTTGGCTATATGAGTAAAGGCAACGAGTGCTGGATGTATAACGCCATGATACAGTGAAATGAAACTGAACTTGGGGTCAGATCTGTCTGAACTCTAATTCTCTCATGCTTAGTGATGTGAATCTACACAAGTAACAAAACTTTTTTGATTCTTTGTTTCATCACCTATAAATGAGAATGACCTCATGTAGTTGTTAGGAAAATAAAGTACATCATAAATAAAGTTTGCTTTCTCAATTATACAGTACTATACAGGAAAATTACTTTTAAGTTATTTATAGAAAAACAAGGCATTTAATTGTAACTTTTCAACATGGATTTAACCACAGAGTGAAATTTTGCTGACTAAAGTTTGGGATCACTTTCTTCTCCCAATTTTTTTAAAGGCAGTTAAATTAGTAAATTAGAAAATTAGATCTGGTTGTTCAATCAGATTTTCCTTGTATATTCAGGAAGCTGAAAAGGATGCAGAAAACCGTTTAAACCATAAGAAAAAAACAGCAATGATTCTTCTGATTTAAAGCAAGCACCGGAATGAAAGTTAAATTCTTTTGTTGAGACTTCTGTTACTGAAGTAAGGCTTTGGGATAATAGTTTCACTTAAATGTGCAAGAGAAATGGGATTTTAGTTTTCTGTGGAAGAAATAGTGTGGAGTCACTACCATAGCTACAGATGCCACAGATGGCTGGTCCAGGAAATGGGCGGGCCTAGGGCCAGAGGGAGGGAGTGTTCCTTCTTCAGTCTTTAATCTTTGCAGTGCTATTATCTGATCTGAAGAGCCCATGGCTAGAAACACTCGAAGACTCCCATTTTGGTGGCCTGAGAATACATCAATCACAGGCATGTAGCTGTCGACAGCGACAACTGGATACCTAGCATCAAGCAGCAGGCGAGAAACCTTCGGATCTCTAGAAGAAAAGAAATTGTGAATGAGCAAGTAACAATAATCAGTCACATCAGAGTTGCTACATTTCTTACGTGGCTTTTTCTCTGTCCAAATGGAGCTACAAGTACAAAAGTAACTGTAGTTTTTAAAAATGTGATTTTGTCAGTAACCAATCAATTAAAATTTATGTTTATAATTGAAGTTCATAATACAACAGTTTCAGGGCTGGGAATGTGTGTGATGTATCCCTGTATCACCATGGCCCTAAGCCTAATGTCTGTGAGGGTGCAAGTATCTCAGTTGAGCCTTGCTAAATTGCCTTTGTAGTTATTTTTTGTGAGACAGGGTCTTGCCATGCAGTCCAGCCTTGGCTCAAACTTCCTGCCTCAGCCTCTCAAGTGTCAATTATATTATTTTAGAGGGAGGCAGTGTAGTCAACTAGGAGGTTTCTGGACTTTGTTTTGGCACATAAGATCTGGATAATATTACCAGTGATATTTGTCATCTACTGAGCACATACTATGTTGTAAGTAGAAGTGTTTCCAACAAAGGTTGATATTATTCATTGTTAACAGATTATAAAAAGCTCAACTCAGAAAGATTCAGTAAGTTAGCTAAGGACACACAGGTAGTAGGAGGTTGAACTACGATTTAGGCTTTGAACTACTGTATTTGATTCTAAAGCTCACATGCTCCTAGTATTAGCTCTCCCACTTTCTAGATGACTTAAGCAATCAATTTGACTTTTCTGAGTCTGATTCCTGCTTTGTAAAATGTAGATAATTAAACTTTCATCACGGGCTGTTGCTGGGACTACAGTGTGATAACAAATATAAAATACCAACTATGATACCTGGTACATGGGTAAATGCTCAGTAATTGGTAGTCACCATTATTTTACCTGCTCTTAGAATGAGAAGGGAAGAAGAAGAAAGGGAACACTAGACCAGGCTAATATTACAGCTATTAAAAAAAAAAACAGAAAAAGCCAAAAGCCTACAGCAGACACCCATGGTTTCAGGACTACTCCTCAGCTGGGCTGTTTTCTAATGTTACCATCGTAAGTACTTACTACTCACAGAAGGTGACCCCATGTATTTTATCACTGGATCCTCATAGTTGCTCCAAAAGAGACACAGGGGATCTACTATCACCCTCATTTCACAGATAAGGAAAAGAAAACCAGAGAGGTTAAGTGACTTTTCTAAGGCAAAGGACACATTTTCTCATGTGTAGAACAGGGACAACAATAATACTTCACAACTTATAGGAAAGCTCAAATGTGATAATGGCCACAAAAGTACGAAGTTTAATAGACAGAACCATAAGAAAGCTTCTGGAAAAATGGTAAGTGCTACAGTAATTAAAAATTTGCATTTTGGATCCAGACAAAAGATGAACAGTCTGTACTTAGGAGAGAGATGAACTTTAGGTTACTCCATACTCTAGACAGGTGTTAAAAGGGAGGCACAATATTCAAATCTAAAGGTCTAAAACAAAGCATGCATTACAGGAATTTTGCAAACAATGGATATGAACCATACTGACATTTCATGACACAGAGGTAAGGTATTAGTTTAGTGAGCTGGTACTTTTTGGCAGCAGAGCTTTTTTGTTAGAGAACGGACTCCTGAGCGAGGCTATCCAGGTATGAAGCCTGGTTCTACTCTTAGGCCATTAGTGACAAGTAGTTTAACTTGTTTGAGTCTCTGTTAACCCATCTGTACAACAGGGGAAATAAAAGTACCTGCCTCAGAGGCTTTTGTGAAGATTAAGTGACTTGCTGTATGAAAGGCTCTGAGCATGGTAAGCAGTTTCTGTACCACTGTTTTACAATAGGAGAAAGAGCAGCAACAGTGGTGAACCTGAGAGAGGTCCTCCAAGGGATTATTGAGCTATTCATGTTTGCAAATGAAAAGAATTCCTCTTCAGTCCACACAAAGTTAAAGATGCAAAATACAGAATACTCCAAAAGAGCCTATTTACTTGAATGACATGTAAAACTGATGAAGAGGGAGTTTCACCAGCCCGAGCAGCTTGTCCTGTCCTGGGCTCCGCACCTTGTTCCAAGTTTCAATTATCATCACGTTGTTTTTAAGCCTTTCCAGGTATTTGGAAGACATAGAGATAGGAATTACCTGTGGAGAAAAACACCAACAAAAAGAGTCCATACCTGAGACAAAGGATCAATTTGCATTCTTATTCAACAATTTGTATTTTTATTTACTAAATAAGTGTGCACACACAGTGTTAGGAGTTGAAGACATTAAAACCAACCCTGTACCCTCAACAGATGCAGCAAACTGCTGTTAGAGAGTAACATACATAGGCCAGACACAAACCAGTATTTAAATGAAATGGCCTAGTGCAAAGAGCTCTTCCCAACAGGTCTCATGGAAAACAGCAATGGCAATGTAATGGAAGGGGAAGCATTCCAGAGATAGTTAGGTTTGTAGCATCCACTGCACTGGGTCAGTAATTATATAGGGTAACTTTCAAGTTCTACTTAAATTTTAGAGTAAATTATAAAACAAATTAATGTAGACAAAAAGAAGAACAGATTTGGAAGGAATAATAAATTCAGACTGGATACATTTGAGTTCCTTCTTTCATTTATACATCCTTAATGCCTGGTACACGCAAGGTAACATGTTAAGGCTAAGTGTACACCCCTTTGAGGTAATCAGGTGGGGGCAGTCAGATGCAGCAGGCAGTCAGATATGAGATGTGAAACTATGATGAAATGTACAGCTTACACAGAAATGCAGATTTGGCGGCTATCTTCATAAACATGAAAGCTGAAGCTGTAGCAATAGATGTGACGATCATAGGGAAAAGGGGGTTGATCTGAAGAGAGCCAGCAGGAGTACTAAACGGAAACACGAACTGGTTAAGAAAAAGGAAAAGTGCTGGGATCAGCACACTTTCCCTGCTTTTCTCCTGGCCTGATGACTTAAAACAATCAGGATTTGAAATAAGTAACTGAGTGACAGGAAAAATACATAAATAAAAAAATAGACTGGAAGAATGCTGGGGAAGTTTAACTGACCGAAGTCCTAAAGGAAGCAGAAAGGAACAGAATCCAGAACTCAGGCAAAAGAAATAGTGGGAAACCATATGAACTGAGAAAGAAGAGAAGGAATGGAGAAAAAATGTTTTAAAATGTTGGCAAAGTCTTTTTTCTCTTTCATCCAGTAGATCATACCTGGTAATTGCAAAGTTACCTTCCAGTTGGAACATTCTAGGTTTAAGATGGAATTATGATTTGGGAAACATTTTGTCTCCTGTCCCCATACTCCTCTAACTGATATGGAATGCACAAAGTTACCTGAGAAAAGTTAAAAACTGGCTGTGTTGTACTCCATGCAATGACAGATCTGGTAACTTCCTCTGTGCTGAAGAATTTGCAAATTAAATAAACATTGCACGGTGGCTGTTTCTCAGATTCTCCAGTAATGAAGTCTTTCCCATCTGGCACCATCAACAGCACATGCAACAGCAAAGCATTTTCTTTTGTTGACTCATTTGCTTGATTTAGTAAACTGTGAGAGGCTGGCACAGCCACGAAGGCTGAAGAATTTGTTGCTACAGAGCTTGGAGACTTTGGGTTGGGAAGCACCAAATTCTGTGCTTTTTTTGTAGTTTCCTCATGAATTTGATTTAGGTTCTGTGGATTTCTGGTACAGTTTGTATCTTGCTTAGATTCTTGTAGAATCTTCTCTGGACTTGTCACAGCACAAAGTGGGGTATGTTGGGTGCTGCTAGTTAATTTAGTATTAACACCTGTGAAATCTTTGCTATCTCTAACAAGTTCCACGGTTACCTATAAAACACAAAAGGAAAAAGGTCAGTAGGAACATCCGGTAGAGAGTTCAAGCCCTAGTACTCGCCCCCCGCCCCCACAGGAATGTCCTATAGAATTGGAATCAGAATTTTGGAGCTGGAGGTAACGTCAGATTTTTAGGAAATGAATGGACTCTTTCTCAAACACCAAAATAGGAAGAACACTCAATAGACTGCATATTTATTAACTTGTCAGACTGAGAAAATCAGGTAGATTATCATTAATATGACATGAGCCTAGAACACCTTTGCTAGAAAATGAGATGCTCAGAAAAAGACAGACATATGTTTAAAGGACACAGAATCCCATTCAAGTGGCCCCTACTGGATAAATCTGGGATAATTTGAGCATCAAAGTGAATAACAGCAATGGATTATAACCCATCAAATAATATAAGACTACATAAATCCATACTAATGTAAAATTAACGAAAACATGCAACTATTTTGTATGATAAAATGCCAATTAATAAATTCTCAGGGAGGCCATAGGGATGTACCTCAGTGGTACAGTGCTTGCTTGTCTAGTACAAACAAGGCCCTGGGTTCAAGTTCAATCTGTAGTATTGAAATAAATAACAAAAAAAAAAAAAAGAAAAAAGGGAAAGAATAAGAAAAGCACAGAGAATGACAGAGTTAGAAGTTACCATTTTATAATTATCTTAATAATATGTGATTCAGGTAACTCCAGTAATAGGATATTCTATAAAAATAACTGGCTTATTTTTAAAAATTATGAATGTACCGAGATGATAAAAAAAAGGGCTACGGAACTGTTCTAGATTAAGAGAGATTAGAAAGAAATGATGATTAAATGTAAATGGACTGGAAAAAATTACCATAAAGGAAAGTAATGGCATTACTGGTGAAATGTATGGGATATTGGTAGAATATATCATCAATGTTAAATTGATTTATGTAACTCTAGAACAATAATGTCCTTGTTCTTAGAAATATACATGCTAGAGAATTAAGGGGAAATAGTTATAATGCCTGTACCTACTCTCACTCAGTTTAGAACAAGTACATGCATGTTTATGAGTGTGTACATACATTATGTTTTATACATGAAAAAAGGGACAAAGTAATGCAGAGAGAGAATTATAAAGCAAATGTGACAAATATAAAGAATTGGAGCATCTAGGCAATGGCTATGAGAGCTCTTTGTACTACTGTATTTGCAGGATTTCTGTAAGTTTGAAGTTATTTCAAAATAAAGGGTAAAAATATTAAAAAATAAAAATCAAAAAGGATGTGGGATAAATCTGCAGAACAGAAGTGGCCACTAACTGTCAGAAGAACGAATTACTAGGGATAAAAGGGTTTTTACTGTTTCCTTTATTTGAAACCCGAAGGTGTTACACAGGAAAGTTCTTTTGCTCTATCAAATATAGGCAGAAATCCATCTCGTATAGCACTTCGCTCAACAGAGCTAGCATAGACTATTTAGGTCCATCAATTCTCTTTATGACCTATTTCAGATTTTAAACTCTGCTGTTCAGAATGAACCTAGGAGGCAAAAAATAAAGCTTGGACAGCAGAAGAGTACGGTGGTATTATTTTTTGCAATAAGTCTTTAAAGGTAAGTAGTATTTACTAGGAAGATCAGGAAGAGAAGGCTTTCAGGAAGAGGAAGCAGCATACACATAAAACAGAAAAACACAGGAGACATGAGGCAGCATGACGTCTTAATGATTTTTATATCATCTGACATAGCTATTGGTAGAGACAGCTGAAGTAGCAGGCAGGGGTCATATGGTGAATCCTGTACCTTTATCTTTTGGGTGACTGGGAGCCTTGGGGATGTTTTAGTCATGACTGGAAAGATTTCAAAAAACTCACCAGGATATCTAAATGAAGTTGTACTGAAGCTACACATTCAAATTCTGCCACCCAAGACATCCTGGTGCTTCTGAACACAAGGAAAGAACTCTTCCTCCAATGAATTGTACATCAGAATTCACTTTATGAGGCACACAGCTACTTCTCTCCTTGCTCCCTACCACAGCTCTAGTCCAAGTCATAATCTTTTTTGGGGACTAATGCAGTAGCCTCCACACACTCCCTCTTGCCCTCCTACAGTCTATTGTTCACACAGAAATATATTAGAAATGTACATCAGGGGCTGGGGATGTAGCTCAGTGGCACAAGTGCCTGCCTGGCAAATGCAAGGTCCTGAGTTTGACTCCCAGTACCAAAATAAAAACAAAAACAAAACGTAAATCAGATTACATCCCTCTCATATTTCAATGTCCTTTCCTGGCTCTTAGCCTAAAATCTAAGCTCTTTAGCTGCCTTAACTACACATCTCTGAATGCTACGGCAACTACCTGCTTGTCTAACCCTACTTTCTCCCACTCTCTTCTTGCTTACTATGCTGTGGTAACATTTGGTCCCTTGGCAACACAAAGCCTCTTTCTGCTTCAGGCCTTTATTTTGTTGTTATTCCTTCTCTCTATAGTGACTTTCCCTATGCTTTTTACTTTCTCTTATTCTTCAGCTCTCACCTTAAATGTCACCTTCTTATTGAGAGCTTACCTGACTAGCATCTTCTAGTTCCTTCCAAGCACTCATTATCATATCATATCAAACCATTTCCTTCATAGCACTTCCACTGTCCTATATCAATAGAAGCCTACCAATAGCAGAGACTTTTCTTGTTCACTGCTATATTCTTAGTGTCAGCCAATAATACATGCTCAGAAAATACTTGTACTTTTCTGAATAAGCATTTATGTACCTTCAGGGGGCCAAGCGGAGTCTGACCATTTTCCTGTTGCACTGGGAGTTGACCAGTGAAAGAAAGGAGCTCTGACTGAATGACAGCTCGCAAAGGAAGTAATGCCGAACCGATAACTTCTGGCTGAGGGAAAAAAGAAAAAGCTTAGGTTAAATTAACAAACAGCCACAAAGGATTTTAACTGAAGTGACAATCAATGGTGGCTATAAAACAAATTATGCTTTATGAAGTACAAAGTTTAATTATTTTCCTGAGGCAACTCTAACTGGAATCCCATGTTCTGTCATATTTTGATCCCCTCTGGGTTTTACTACATCCTCCTGGAAGATTATAGAAGATTACACAAGTCACAAAGAAGTTGGAAATTTTTTTTTTGGTACCGGAAATCGAACTCAGGACCTTGCGCTTGCCAGGCAGGTGCTTGTGCCACTGAGCTATCTCCCCAGCCCTGGAAATTTCTTTTATTATGAATAGCTCTTTACTCAAAATGTTCAACTTTACTATTAAAGATAAAAATGAAATTTAAAAAGCTATATACCTTAAAATACCTGATGCTATCAAAGCTATGGAAAAATAAAAGTCTGTCATATGAATGAAGCTGGGAATATATAGCAGCAACATACTTTTGGACAGGAAATTTGGTAGTTAATATAGAAAACTTTAAACATTCATATTTCTGGGAATTTATACTGAAGAGATATTAAACAGTACATAAAAGGCTTATGCACAAATATGAATATGTTGAAAGTAGCAATTAAAGATAACTAGATATATGATAATTAAGAATTAAAATGATGAATTAAAAAGAATTAAAATGATGATAAAAGAATTAAAATTTTAATTACTTAAAATTAAGAATAAAAATGACGCTCACTAAAAGCTTATAGTATAAAGGACAATATTTGTTATAATGTTTGATAAAAGTAAGGTATTAAATTAAATAGTAAACCTTCAAATTATATGGAAAACATTAAGTACGTATTTTTATCAAAAAAAGAAATAAAAACTCTCAAGACGATGTTAAAAATATAGTACAAAAGCTGTACACAAAGTTATGTAACACTATTTATTGGAAAAAGATAAGGGAGCTATACTTCAAAATAACAATAGTTACTGTAATTATAGGCAATTTTGTCTTTTAAATAAAAGTGTTATACAAATTTTCTACAAAAGCATAAATATTTATTTTATTATTAGGAAAAAAGTCATTAACTAGTTATAGAAAAATGATTCAATATAAATATATCAAAATGTTAACAGAGTTGTCTTAAGGTTGTAGAATTATGTGATTTTTCCCTTCTGTATTGCTATTTGTCCAAAATGGTTTATATTATTTGTATCTTCTGGAAAAACAAATGAAAAGAAAAGAGAGAAGCTTTATTTCTCATGTTACCCATACCATAGATGACGTCAGAGATTATACCTATGGGCTATTCCTTCCCTGAAGGAAGCAAACACTGTGTACATCAGTTCACTGATATATTTTGTGCCAGTTGCAAGTGGATTTTATAAACATGGAATTAGATGATCAACTGTTACTCACAATTACATTATTGTGGACAGGGGCTGCATACTTAGGTATTCTACCTGCGAACAGGAAGTAGAATCTCAAATTAAGGCTACTGTAACCTACATCAGTACAACTCCCTACAGTAAGGGAGCACAGTAAATAGGTTAAGAACTTAAAAGTCTGAAGACAGAAGACGAGATGGACTACTGACTCTTTTTTTCCTATTTTAATAATCTATTAAATAAATAACATATCAAAATGACATGAGAAATGGATCAATTAAAAAACGACTTAACAAAGGACCAGTTTATACCTTCCTTTGAATTACATCCATAAATTTTAAATATACAAATCTCATTCTCAAACCCAAAGAATCTCTCTAAACAAATGAAATACAGACACAGACATTCAGGGTCCAAATCATTCAAAAATACTTTTTAAATTACAGTAAATTACATCATAAGAAATGAAACAATAAGTGACAATTACACACATTTGTTAAAAAGTTGAATGACAGTGCAAAGGTACCACAATTAACTTAATGAGTACTACTCACTAATGCTTTTATAGTATACCTACCGTAAATTTTTAGGTAATAGATTTAGAGCAAATCTTGAAACCAAAAAAAAAAAAAAAAAGAATTAGAGTTAATCTTGAAACGTAATTTTGTGCATGTCTTCTAATGTTGTGAATTACAGAAATAGCTTCCAGAAAACTCAAGTATTGGTAAAAGCAAGGCATATGGGACTAGATTTTGATAAAGGTGCTTTTTCTTTGGCCCTATAACTACTGTAAATATCCTGGAGATTCTTAAAATGACTTTCAATATAGCATAAATAACTTCTATAAACCTTTTCTTCTGTAAAGCACATATACACAGCACAGTAATTAAATGTTTACAGTGAATGTTTAAATGAGTGATGCTAAACCCTTTCTTTACAAAAACTCAGTATAATCACATTTTAAAAGGTCAATAATTTGATATGTAGGAATAGTCAGGATTATACCAAGTGTACAGAGCATAATGTCAATTAGTTTCCTTTCAAATTCTGTTACTACAATCTAGTTTAAATATCAAACTTCCTTTCGTTTCTATGAAATTGTGACATTCAAAATAAATTGATGTACACATTTAAGTTTTGCAACTCTAAGTTATACAATCCACATAAAACTAGCTTATGATATTTTCAAAATCACTTATTAAAGAAATGACAATATTACTGTCTTAAAATATCTATTTGCTATACTTCAAACTTTTCTTCATAATACCATATTCCTGATTTTTAGTAGAATTATCAATTGGCACTCTTCTGCCATGAATGAACACATTTTCACATTGAACAAAGTAGTTGACAGATAACAAATACACTTCAAAAAGCACAAAAATGTAAAGAATCAAAGAGTTATTGTTATAAAAGAATAAAATCTTCAAAAGTCATCAAAACATAAACCACTTACATAAAATGGCATTATCTGTATATATCACATGATCCAAGAACACAAGACTGCCTTTTCAAACATGAGTATTTCTTTGTGAATTAAAAATTACAAACTACTGTAACCCAGTAACAGTTTCAAACCTACTAGAAAAGCAAAATATAAATTATAACTAATGAAAATTTACCTTCAAAATATACTTTATTTTGTCCATTTTCACAACTTTTAATTATACTTTTATAATCCTTAATCAGAATCTTGAAAATTGGACACTTGAAAATGTGTTATTACTTTAACATATCTAATATGCAATAATTGCTGGTATAGTTTTTAAGTGTTAAAATAGCCTAGACTGCTGGGCATGTCTATAATCCCAGCACTCAGGAGGGTGAGGCAGGAGGATCACCACGAGTTTGAAGCTGGCCTGGGCGACATAGTTCAAGGACAGCCTGAACTACATAGTAAAACTCTGTCTCAAAAAAAAAAAAAAAAGCTAGCCTAAACTTAAATTAACAATGTGAATGTTTACTGCATTAATACATAATTGCCCAAAGAATACTTCACTGTAAGTTGGATATACTTACTTGTAGTTTTAAATTCTGTGTATTTATAAAATTTACTTTCACTTAGTAGTAGGAAATAGAATGTAAGCCTGACAGTTGTAGTCAAAACACCAGGCTCAAAATGAGGTAGTTTTTAAACAAAATATTCTATAAGGTGGTCAGTGAAAATCTGAACTCTGGCATCTAAAAATTTTGCTTGGTACCATTTTGTTAACATCAGCAACTTGATTTTAAATATTCTGTAATCTTAAGCAATTTTAAACCCTGGATGAAGCTGATTAGATGTACAATCTGCAGGCTATGTTTGCATTATTAGGGTAAAACAAAGTCCAAATTAGCCAAGAGTACCCAACAATTTGTATCAATAGTATTATTATTTTTTTTTGGCACCTGAGATCGAACTCAGGACCTTGCACTTGCAGGCAGGCACTTGTGCCACTGAGCTACATCCCTCAACAGTACTTTTGAATCAATCAAATTCTATTTAACAAAATCCATTAGGACTATATTAAAACAATATATTTTTAGTTTTTTATTAGAAGTTTTTAAAAATATATACAGTATAAATGAAAATAAAAAATTCTTCTTATACTCAATAGATAATTCTGTATATAGTTCATAATTAAATGAAACCTATATCCCAACTATAGAAAGTATATTTGCCCACTAATTCATCCTACTATTTCGAATATATTCCCTCTCCTCTGAACCAATTTGTTAAATAATTCATGTAATTTGCATTCTCAACTCCAGTGTTAAAAAGGAAAAAAATATACTATTTTAGTCTTTTTTTTGTTTTGTTTTGTTTTTTTCCAGTACCAGGAATCAAACTCACGACCTTGCGCTTGCCAGGCAGGTGCTGTGCCGCTGGGCTAAATCCCCAGCCCAAAAATCTACTATTTTAAAGCCAAATGGAGGTTCCTTCCCAGAAGCTTTATGGGAATATAGGGAATGGAGAAGTCAGCTACCTGTCTTAATCACAAGGTCACAGTATCCCTGGGAACAGCAGGTTTATGAGGGACCTGAAAAGATTTTTTGACCTGACTTAAATTTACTTATAGTGCTATTTAAAGTAACATAATATGTCGACAGGGAATGTATGTAAGAAAAGTCATTTTGTTCTTGGTCCACTCTTCTTTCTTTGTTTGTTTGAGACAAGGTCTTGCTGGGTAGTTCAGGCTGGCCTTGAACTCATTATGCAGCCCAGGCTGGCCATGAACTTGCAGCAATCCTGTCTAAGTCTCCTGAGTAGTGGGATTACAGGTGTGCACCCACCATGCCCAGTTGCTCTTGGTCCACTCTTACTGGTACAGTTTTACTATTTTTTTAGTTGTTTCTTTCAGTAGTTGTAGATTAAAGAAAGTTTCTATAGATCAAAGAGCAGATCTTCACGTAAAAACTTTCTAGGTGTATACAGTATAGGCTTGATATTTCAAAATGTTCAAAATGGAGATATTGGGCAATAGTAAATTATTTTAAATTGTTAAATGAGTATTTAATCCAATTAGATTACATTTTAAAACTTTAATGGTAATTAACACATACAAACTCAAAGTAATAGTAAGGATTTACCTGTTTATAGAAAAGAAATGCAATAAAGAGATTAAGGGTCCAAGTCTATTATTGTAAAAGTCACAGCTACTGCCTCGCACAGGAACAACTGGACTATTTTTAACTGTTGTACATCACTAAACGTTCTAAGGATATGTGTGAGAAATAGGTATCTTTCCACACTACATTTAAATATGAATTTTGTTCTCTGACAAACCAGGCAGAATATTATTTTACTTAATTTTACATAATTGAACAAACAATATTCAGCAATCCTTGGTTGAATAATTTTTTGTATAAATATAAAAATCTCAGATATGTGAAAATGTTTTTCACATCATACTTCTATTTTTTCAAAGCTTTCTAATTTTCAAGTTTTGAATATTCCATGTGATTTGATGTATTCTTACAGAAAGAGTAAGATAAAAACATTTAATAAGAGTAAATATATCTACTTTGCAAAAATTGGTATCTGACATTTGTGTGCTCTTACAAAGAGTACACAGGACATCTCTGTAGCAGTCAAAGATAGACTCTTCTTAAACTTAGATTTCAAGTTTTGAATTCCAGATGTAATGTGTTTTGTTACATATACAGTACATACTCTATCCTTAAGCATGCATATTTTTCAAACCTTTGAACAATATTATCAGATTCAGGATGATGGTATCTTTGGAAAATCTGTAGTTGTCCTCTATGGAAGACCAATGTTGAGATTCCTAGTGTACCGTCATGAAAAACTAGTAAAAGATAGTACATGACTATGCTTTAGTGGGATTTTCTGCAGGATTGGGATCATAAGCACATAAGAAAGCAGCTATTATTACAAGGATGGCTCCAAGGAAGAAGACAATGGTTGGTACAAAACCCTGTAGCTAAAAAAAAAAAGAAAAAGGCTAACAGTGTTGACAATACTATGGATAAAGAGGTTGTAAATCCTTTAAAAATATTATCTGCACACTTAATCACAGTAGCTATAACAAAGACTCCAAGTGACAAGATGAATGTTTCTTATCCTTACTGATTGTTTTGTATCTTTTAAGATCTTCTTAAAATAAATTCCAGCAAAGACATTTGAAAAACAGGGTGTGAGAACTACTATGAGGCCCACAAATTTTGAGCCAGCGAAGAGTTTTTAGAATGAAGCTTTTGTGAGTCGGAGGGCCACTGTGCACAAGCAACTTCTGCTATCAAAAGTACTAGGGAGAACTACTGGTACACACCTAACACTTTACTAAGCATAGACACGGAAAATAAGGCCACCATAGGAATATCCAACTGATACATGACCTGATAGGTAGCTGCATCTAGATTTGAGAGTGCCATATAGAGTAAATTATTCTCAAGAGTATATATCCATGATGGAATAGCAGGTGGTTTCCATAGGCTTATTAAGAATTTTATCATGTAGTACTCAATTCAGTGCTCTTAGACTACATTTACTGTCTTTGTAGATGACTAAAAGGTAGGCCACTATCTTCAAAAGTTCAGCAGTATAAGGCAGATAATTCATGTAAGAAGCTGAGCGTGGTGGCACACACCTGCACTCCCAGCACTCATGAGGCTAAGGCAGGAGGATCACTGCAAGTTCAAGGACAGCCTGGGCTACAAAGTAAGTTTCAAGGCCGGCCTTAACTGTATAGTGAAACCCTATCTCAAAAAGACAAAAAAAAGAGGTCCTTCTTCCTTTAAAGTCCTACAATAACTCATTGTTAGCACCAAACTGGTAGTCTGAGAGATCAAAATTCCCAAAGAAAGGTATGTTAGGTTGGCAGACAGTGTTTTATCTTCATTTGTCTTCCACGTGACTTGGCTGGCTGCCCACACCAGGTCCGCTACCGCTGCTGATGCCACCACGGTGCAGAGCCCAGGCACTTCTGAGTTCCTGGGGTCTCGCTTGGCTCTTTATTAGCTTGGGTGATCTTAAATATATTACTCAACCTTCACTAAATCTTAATTTCTTCATCTATAAAATGAAGATAATTATGTATCGAATTCACAGAATTCTTGTAACGATTAAATGAATACAGCTTTTAGTGTAATATCTGGCCTATAATGAACAACAGAGAAGAGCAATAATGATGATAATAACAAAAAGCATTAGAGTGCTTGAGCCTGGAGAAATCCCGACTTTAGGCAAAAATATAAGTATGCTCCACATCACTGACGTGAATAGTAAGGCAAAAGTCAAAAATCACATTTAGTACCTTTTTCTGAGGAGGCTGTTTTGCATAAATTTGGAAAGTGAGGTTAGAATTCCACCAGTGCTGTATCATTGAGCCATCAAACTGTACTGGAAACACAGATCGCTGCTGGAATTTCACCACTGTAAGAAGAACAAGATATATAGGCACAAGCATGTATCACACCATCCAAGCAAAGCCTTTATTTTCAATGCCTTCACACCATCCTCTCCCTTTCAAAGCTAAGATCTCGTTCAAGGAATCTAATCAGTGTGACTTCACAAAAAATAGTAGGTTGTAGGATTAAAAGAGCAGAGATAAAAGAGAAAACCCTGGATATAGTAGCAGAAGATAAACAATGCTATATTGCTTAGCTTTGCTATGATAAACGAAAGAAGCATATGAGCACAGGATGTGTATACAGACATTTATATACTTCACTGTCTTTAAGGTAATACAATTTTTAAAAAGACAAGTCAAATGAGTAAATTGTACAGTATATTAGTTATACCTTGGCAAAACTCTTAGAAAAGAAAGAGGAGAAAAATGGCAACAGCTGAAAGAACATGATCTAAACATCTAGTGACCCGCTGCCTTATATCAGCAGTCATAGTACTACTGGGCCAGCTTCCTCACTTTGAGGGCATCAGAGTAGAGTTACTTCAAAATTCTTTCTAGCTCTGGGTCTATGGTACTATGAAAGTCAGATGGATAATTAGGACTCAAAATTTCTTACAAAGTCAAAGTATCTAAGGAGTAAAAACCAGTCTCTCTTACTTCCATCTGTAACTTTACTGGAGGCAAGTCGAACAACTTCAGTGATCAAAGCTGTCTTTTCCAATCCACTTTTGGAAAACCCCACAGGAAAGTGATATTCCACAAAGAAAGTGCTAAAAAATAAACAGTGATTAAAAAAGAAACCAAATAATAACCCTACTTTCTGTCTGTCTATAAGTCCTGCAGCTCTTTGAAGATCCCATCCTGAGGCTCTTTGGTCCTCTGAGGGCATACCTCCAAAGTTTTCGTCCACCTTTTCTGAAGGAATGAAAGTTTTGTTTCTGTGTGCACCCATAGCACTCTTCATAGAAAACATCTGCTTTGGCCCCGAAAGCCCTATATTACAGACAGCTATTTAATTGTTTCTCTCTCTTGCTAAATGTAAGGTCTGTAAGCACAGTTCCCATCCTAATTTCTCCATATTCTCTTGTTTTTTGGATCTAGGGGAATTCAATATATTTTAAGCAACTGAATGATGCATATGAAATTGAATTACAAATTATAATGTGCTACATAGTTATTATTATCATGAAATATACTTTCCAAAAAGGTCAAATATACCTTTTTCATTTTAGAGACATACCGCTTTTTTACTGTTGTCAGCTTAGGTGGTTTCCCAGCAGAGCTTTTCTTGCCTGGGGTCATCTCAAGACCATCTACAGGAACTCCCATTGTCTCAATGATGATCCTGACAGAATGTGTCCTACCCAGAAGCGCCAGTCTGTCCACACTTAGTGTCATTACTTGGGCATCTTCTGGAGTTTCTGAAAGTAGCTGCGGTTCAGCCAGATCTCTGCAAGGAGTTCATAGAGACAGGCGGGCAATTAGAGGCTTAACATGAAACAATCCAGTTTTCACAGAAAGAGGTAGGGTGGCAAGCATCTTAATTCATAAGTTAAGTGGAAATGGCTTTAATTATCAGAATTTTGATCTAATGTACAATAAAGGAAATCTCAAAAAAAATAAAGGCTTATTATTTTTATAAAGCGTAGAAACTGATGTAATGTAATTAAGTTTTTCTAGTAAGGACAAAGAATTTATTCCAGTACCCACTACCCTAATACAACTATTACTATCATTTTTATGTATTGCTTTTCATTCCTCTTAAGCATATTTTCTAAATAGGTATGATCACAGTACATATAAAACCTCGTATTAACCATTTTAACTGTATGCATCTTTTCATGTTATTCCACTTTTAAGGATTTCAACGCTTATTGAGTTACTATTCATTTTTTTGAGGCAGGGTCTCGTTATGCAGTTCAGGTTGGCTTTGAACTAAAGGTGATCCTCCTAGCTCCCAAGTGCTGGGATTACAGGCGTGGGCCACCATGCCCAGGTGAGTTATTATAATTTAACTCTACTGTGTGTGTGTTGGGCAAACACAAGTATGAAATTTCACTTGAGGAAATATTATGAAAATCAGCTTCCTTTGCTTTTGCCAGTAATCAAGCATTCAGAGAGAGGCTCACTTGTTTTCCTTGCTTGCTGTCCTCTTCATCAGCTTATGATCTTTTGGCTCTAGAACCTTAGAAGATCTGCCAAGAGCTTTTGACTGATTCATTTTCTTAGCAGGGAAAATATCATCATCTTCACTTAGAAAATCACTGATGCTGTTATCAGATTTCTATGTGGGGGGAGAAACAAAAACAGACACTAAAAGAATTGCTCTGGGGATAGCAGTAAGGAAATATTCCTCTAAGACTAAGCAAGCTCTTCTTTGTATACATAACTTTCGCTTAAAAAGATAACAAAAAAGCTAGAATGCTTGAGCAGTGGATGAGGCTCTAGCATGGGTGAAGTTTACAGTAGGTAAAGGATAAAAATGGGAGATGCAGTTAGGAAGGTAAGTCAGGGTTAGGTTCTAATGCCATACTTAAGGCTATGAGACAGTGTGGACTAGTAGAAAAAATTCAGGGTTTATGTCAGATAGACTAGGGTGAGCATTCCAGTTCTGCTGCTTAATGAACATACTTAAAATTAACATCTTTAAGCTTATGTTTCATGATGTTTAAACAGAGATAATACTATCTCATGGGGCTAGTAAAGAATTAATTGCAATAATGAATTAAAAACACTTGGTACAGTTCTCAATAAATTAGGCATAATATGTAAAGGCTCTGGAATGTAAAAAATGGGTAGTAAATGGGTAGTAAAGAAATGCTTTCTTCTTTTCCTATAGATAATGTAGTATCCATGGTGACTGTTAAGGTAGGAAGTCATAAAATACTAGCAATTCATAATGTCTTTCCAATTTACTTCCTCCTCAGTTCCACTGCTGCCATTCTCTGGCTCTCTCTCACACCTCTAATAACCTAATAGTTCTGCTCCTGGCAATCATCCTCTCAGTTTGCTTCCTACATGGCTGCTAGGTTAAGATTCCTTTTTTTTTTTTAAGATTCCTAAAACACTGTTATGTCCTTTCTTCCCTTTAGACACTCACAATCTTTTATACATGCAGGCTGCACTGTGGTAGAGTCTGCCTTATCAATTTTTTTTCTACCCCAATTCTTTATTTCCTCTCTCTCTCTTTTTTTTCAGTGCTGGGAAATAAACCCAGGGCTTTACACATGGTAGGCAAGTGTTCCACCACTGAGCTACATTACCTAGCCCTTCCACGTAAATTTTCATGGAGTTAAAATGTATCCTCTTCAGTGTACAAATATGCTTTTTCTCTACTGGATAGGTCATTCTACTTCCTCTTCTTGGTCATTAATAACATCATCTTTCAAGTTTCAGTTAAAATGCTATGTTCTTTTCTTACAATCTCATGTAACAGTTCTCCCTATCTCCTCTGAATCCTTGTAGCCCTTATTGTCTAACCACTGAGCTGGAATAAACTAAGTTGTATTTTAGTCATCTTTTTCTGATATGGAAAAAAAGGAAAATCAGGAGTACTCTGGTTTGAATGTATCTGTCAAAGAATCATATGTTGAAAACTTGGTTCTCAGTGTGGTGATGCTGTTTTAAGGGCCAACGGAGGTATCTGTCATCTATAAGTAGAGGTGTTTCTGCAGTCTTCTGAATAAGTATCAGGCAAGGGAGGATCTCCGGTATACCTATATTAGTTCTTCCTCAGGATCCGAATCTGAATTTTGGCTCTAACATTTGCTATGTATCCTTGGACAAAGCATTCAATCTTACTGTCTCCTCATCTATAAAATGAAGATAATTCTTCTTCAGAATATCACTATGATTAAATAAGGGAAGGCATGTAAAATGAATAGCCTTCTACCTGGAAAGTTTGTCATGTTCATAACTACTGATATTATATAGACTTATGTTCCTGAAGCTTCAGATTCAATGACTTACAGGTGCCGTATAAAATAAGTTCTCCAGGAGACTCTGGTCATACTGAGGGTCATTCAGCTCACTGCTGCAATACACATCACTCCCAGGAGATGGGGAATCTGGAGGGGAGCCTAATCCATTCCAGCAATGATCTTTGGATAATTCAGCACTGCAGAGATATGAAAAGTAAAACAGAAGAACTATAACAGAAGTTTCACCAGAAATATTCTTCCTTTAGTAAAGATTTCTAAAGTTCTAAATCGGGAAGAAGATACGGTAAACAAAAGAATCACATTAAACAGAAACTGCTAGATAAATATTCACCAATTATAATCTACTTCCTGTGGGATGACAACAGCTAGTACTTAAAACCTACTACTGACACTGATTGTGACCTCTTTCATCTACTCAACAATGTTTAGTGGTCACCTATTATGTGCTAGATCCTGAATGACACAGAGATGGCTAAGATAACACAAACTGTACTCTTGTGGTGTTCATGCTTTAAGTAGGAAGAAAAAAGGTAACTACAATTCAAATAGGTAAATGTTGTATGTTGTTTTTATGGGAAAAAATGTCTAATTCATAAATATGCCCTCTTCCATTAAGCAAACATATGTATTTAGGATTTATTACGGCATGATTGGTTTTATGTGGGATATAAAAATGAATAAAAGACTTTACAACACATTTGTAAGTTAATAGGGAAGTAAGCATATCCATAAAACTATAAACTCAGAATTTTAAGGAATAATTTCACTTTTTCTTTTTAAAAGTTCATACCATTATGGAAGTATTTTAGAGTAAATTTTTTACTTTGTACTTTTTCTTTGGGGCCCTTGTATAAACTGAAAATTTTTTCTCAAAGTGATTATGTAACTATCTTCTTGAGAATTTAAGTAGAGCTGCTAGTTTGTAAGAGAAGCAAAGTAGAAAGAGCAATGAAATGCAGAGTTCAGTGCCAGATAGATAGTATTTAATAAATATTGTTGCTTTTATTATTAATAATAGATTTTCATTAAGAATTTATTAAGGCCATCAACATATTCATTAAGTGCTGTTACTGTAAGAGAAATAAAGCCAAAATATACACATACTTTGCCTTCAAGGAGCTCACACTTACAGGAACAGGACAAGATGTCCACTATCACCACTCTGGTTCAATATTGCTCTTAAAACATTAGCCAAAGCAATCAGCAAGAGAAATGAAAGGGATATGTACTGTACAGGAAATAAGAGTCTGGTGTGGTGGTGCACACCTGTAATCCCAGCACTCGGGAGGCTGAGGCAGAAGGATCGTTGCGAGTTCAAGACCAGCCTGGGCTACAAAATATGCGTAAGAGCCTCACTACAAAGTGAGCTCAAGGCCAGCCTGAACTGCATAGAGAGACCCTGTCTCAAAAAAGACAAAAAAAAAAAAAAAAAAAAAAAAAAAGGAAACAAAGAGGTGAAACTATCATTTGCAGATGACATGATCATTTTCATAGAAGACCCAGAAAATTCCACCAAAAGACTCCTAGAATAAGTAGCAGGACACAAATCCACACACAAAAATCAATAGTGTTCCTGTACACCAATAATGAACTCGCTGAAAAAGAAATTAGGAAAACAATACCATTCACAATAGCACCAAGACAAATTAAACACTTAGGTATTAACCTAACTAAGGAAGTAAAAGACCTCTATAATAAAAACTGTAGTACTCTGAAAAAGGAGGACATAAGAAAATGGAAAGATATTTCTTGTTCTTGGAGAAGCAGAACCAATTCAGTCAAAATGGCTATAGGTCCAAAACTGATAAACAGATTTAATCCAATCCCAATTAGAATATCAACAAGATTCATCAAAGAACTGGAGTTCATATGGAACCAGAAGAAACCCAAAATAGCAAAAGCAATTCTTGGTAAAAAGAACAAAGCAAGAGGCATCACAATTCCAGATTTGATGTTACATTACAAACGTAGAGTGAAAAAAATAGCATGTAGTAGCACAAAAACTTATAATAAAACAAATACAGGATGCAGAAACAACCCCAGGGAATTACAGTAGTATCTGATCTTTGACAAAGGGGCCAAAAACACACTGGAGAGATAGCCCCTTTAATAAAGGGTGCTGGGAAAACTGGATATCCACATGCACATTGCATCTAAACTCATGAGATGTATGGTGAGATATCATGTACTAAACTAAAATCAAAATGGATCAAAGATCTAAATAGAAACAAAGTGCTGAAGGATGTTTGAAATTCTTGAAGTCATAGGTTTAGATAAGAATTTTCTGAACAGAGCCCTTATTGCACAAGAAATAACATCAAGAATCCACAAATGCAATCGTATCAAATTAAAAAGCTTCTGCCAAGCAAAAGTAAAAACCAACAGAGTGAAGAGATAAACTACAGAATGGGAAATTTTTTTTTTTGCCAATGGACAGAAGACTAATGTCTAGACTACATAAAGAACTCTAAAAATTAGAGTCCCCCCACCATAAAGACTCAATTAAGAAATGGGCTACTGAATTCAAAGTTTAGAACTACAAATGGGCAATAAATACATGGAAAAATGTTCAACATCTCTGGCCATTAAAGAAATATAAATTAGGCAATATTGAGAGTCTATCTTACCCTAAAAAGAAAGAACAGCTATCATCAAGAAATCAAGCAATAATTGTTGGTGAGGCTGAGTGGGGAAAAGGCACCAGCCTGTACCATTGGTGGGAATGGAACCATCATTATGGAAATCAGTTTGGAGTTTACGCAAAAAACTAAAATTAGAAATTCAATTAACCCAGCTATTGAATTAACCCAGCTATTCAGGTATCTTCCTGAAAGAGTTAAAAACATCACATTACAGTGATACACGCATACCTGCGTTTGTAGCCCCACAATTCATAATAGCTAAATCTTGAAAGTGGCCTATGTGCCCATCAACACATGAATGGATAAAGAAAACATGGTATTTACACACAATGGAGTACAATGCTGCCATAAAGAAGGATAAACGAGTCATTTGCATGAACATGGATGCGCCTTGAGAACACGATGGTAAATGAAATAAACCAGACACACAAGCTTGACTATCACATGGTTTCTCTTATATGAGGAACTGAAAATATAAATAAAGCACAAAATAAAAGACAGATAATAGGAAAAAGGGAAACAGATCTTTTGCAAATGAGAAGGGGACCAAGAGATGGAGGGAGATCGAGGGAGAGGAGAAAGAGTGAAGGGGAACGGGATGAGAAAAGATTTGCGAGGTGTTATGCATATGTATGAACTCCCCTTAAGGAATATAATCATTATGTACTACAAACATATTGTAATAAAAAATAAAAAATGGAACAATAAAATTCACATACCATATAATTACCCATAGAATATGACCAATTCAATAGTTGTTAGTATACTCACAAAAAGGAAAAACTGTCAGCACAATTGAGGTCAGAAAATTTTCCTAACTTTAAAAGAAAATGTCACAACATTTAGCTATTATTACCTGCCAGCCCTCAGAAACAAATAATATACACCCTTTCTTTCACAGACTTGCCTATTTTAGATATTTCATATGAACTGAACCATAAGACATATATCCACTTGGGGACTGGCTTCTTCCAACTAGCATGTTTTCAAGGTTCATCCATACTGTACCATGTATCAGCACCTCATTTTTAAGGCCAAATAAGACTCCACTGATGGGTATTCTACATTTTAAAAATTCATTCACAACTGATACATCTCTGGTTTGTTTCTAATTTTTAGCCACTATGAATAATGCTGTTGGGTTTGTTCATACACACATTTTTATGTGATGTATGTGTGTGTATTTCCCTTGGGTATATACCTACAATTTGAATTATTGGAGTCATATGCTAAATCTATGTGTAACAGTTTAAGGAACTGACAGGCTCTTTTCTACTGTGGCTACATAAAGGATAAACTTGAGAACATTTTTAGGTAAATGGATGTACCCTGAGATCATAATTTAATTAATTAACTTATTTTTTGTCTTTTTGAAAGAGGATCTCACTATGCAGTTCAGGCTGGCCTTGAGCTCACTTTGTAGCCCAGGCTGGTCTCAAACTTGCAATGATACTTTTGCCTCAGCCTCCTGAGTGCTGAGATTACAGGCATGCACCATCACACCTGGCGAAAATTATACATATATATAAACAGGATAGCTAAAAGAGATATACTGTTAATTTCTCTTAATTCACTGAACAGAAAGGTTTGTGCTAATATTGTTTGGACAATATCTCATGCTTATATTTTGTAACCTGAGTAACTACTCTGAATATAACAATATACAATGTATTAATCATTGTTACTCTCCTATTATCTTATTTTGAAATTGTTTCATTTTTCTTCTTATAATAAAAAAAGTAAGACAAATACCAAATGATTATGTAGTCTTGCCACTTTTCTAAACTTTAACCAAATTAAACTAAGTTTAGTTTCTGAAAAATATTTTTCTCACTGCTCAGTAACTCAGCGTATATTGCTTTTAACCTCTATGCCCTACTACTTTCCCAAGATAGGTACAGAATCCTATGCAGAGACAATAAATAGATGAGGCTGGTGTGAGGGGACATATTAGTAATAACAGTAACAATAACAGTTTCTAATAATCAAACTACTATGTGTCAAGCATGGTGTTGACTGCTTTATGTGTATCATTTCTATTTCTCCTAACAATTTTGCAAAGTTATGAATAATTCTAATTTTATTGGTTCCTTTGAAGCTGAGATACCTGCTTAAAAATCATACCACCATACCCAATAGATCTCAAATTTCAGCTTGAGTTTGAATGCTATCTTCGTCACCCTATGCTGTCACTGGTGGTGGGAAAAAGAGTTGGGAGATAAGAAGGGAAAGTTGACTGCAGACATTTCTGTAAGTGAAGCCTGGAAAAAAAGGATAAAGACTGGTTCTTTATTTAGTAGGCAACAAGTTGTAGTTTAAAGAATAGGAAAGAGGACTTGGTCAGTGTAAGGAAGTTTTGCTCTAAAAAGATGAATCTAACAATGTATTCAATGAGTTGGAGAAAGAATTAAAAAACAAGAAAGCTAGTAAGCTAGTTACCAGCACTTGCATGGAGCTGGATGTGTAACTCAGTGGCAAAGTGCTTGCCTAGCATGTGCAAGGTCCCGTTTGATACCCAGCATCACACACACACACACACACACACACACACACACACACACACATGAGCACTTACCTGCCTAATAGTAGCTGTATGGCTCTAGTTTCAGTTTTTGTATCATGCTTCCTAAATGTATGTTCTGTTGGAGAGAGCACTTGATCTTCTATGTGACCTTTAAGTTGATTCCTAGAAGACAAGGTCTGATTCTAAGGTGTGGAAAAACATTTCTCATTGAGTGGTTAACAGATAGGAAAAATCTAAGTCATGATTAACTGAGCTAAGTAAAAATAGATGGGGCTAGTCTGACACAGAAAACTTAACATACTTTAGATTTAACTGCCTTAACTACATATAAAACTTGACGTTTTGCAAGTCTCTTTCCTATACCAGAATCACATTTCATTTCTGTAAAGGAGGGAAAAACATCCCTACCATCTTATATAAAACCATTCCAATTCACAGAGAGCAAAGAATTAACTCAGACACATATTTAGCAAGTATCAATGTTAGGACAAGATTTCGAGTATCTTAAATTCCTACTTTAGGCTTCTTTCCCAATTTGCTAAACAGTTCTAAGGCTATGCAGTTCATAACCTGACAGAAAACACAGGTTAACAACTATCAAGAAATGAACAGTTTGGTTTCAAGTCTAACCCTGTAACTTACTGTGCTGATGATGTAAGAGAATCTTCCTTCACAGGAGGATGAACCTTGTCCAGCAACATGCTAGTATCCGGGCTTGATTTCATTGCAGAAATCACCATGGCATTACGCAGTTTATTGCCTTGTTCTAACAGAGCTAAAGGGACCAACATAGGAAAAAAAATCTGAAATCTAGCAGAAATACTTGCAATATGCAATATGTTTTCCTCTATCATAGGACTTGCCACAAGGTAATGGCTTCCGTACCTGCCTTCCTCACCAGTTTGAGGATTCCTTACCAACATTCACGTAACAACAGATGCCTGCTGAGTTTCTATTTGTGCCCTGTCTTAGATGCTAACATCACATCAATGATAAAATCCCTATTCCAGAGACTGAGCTTCTTTGGCAGTCATTATATCCCCACGCATTCAACTATTCCAACTGGTATTTGTATGTAATAAAGTTAGTCACACCTATAATTTATTTTTATATCCAGATAACTTACTGAACTCTTATTGTGTAAGAGTTTCAATGCCATTCTTAACCAAGGAATATGTCAATATCACCTAAAACTTTAGAAGCCATAGTGATACCTATAATTTTCCAAGTTTATATATTTATGAATGAAGAAAAGAATGGCAAAAAACTTCCACGACTCACCCAATATCATACAGCAGATTAATAGAAAAGGTGAAATAAAACCCAATGCTTCAGACTTTCCGACAGGTAAAAGTTAACCTGTTCCTCAAGTAATAGCAACAATAGCAGGCAACATTTATTGAACCTTTAGCATGTGGCAGGTAGTACCCTAAGTACTTTGCAAGTATTAATTTACTTAATCTTCCCAATGTGTAGTACTTCATTTTCTAGGTGAAAAAATTGAGGCAGAGAAGATAAGTAACTTGCCCAGGCTATATACATGAACAAAAGTTTTTATAGTCTACAATTTTAGTCAAAACTATTAGAAAATTCCAGAATACACAATCCATAAATTTTAAATTGTGTGCTGTTCAGAGTAGCATGATGAAATCTTATGCTGTCCCGTCCTGGATAGGAATCATCCCTTTGTCCAGTGGTATCCATGCTGTGTGTCCCACCTGCCTGTTTGCCACATATCACAGTAGCTATTTCAGTTATAAGTTCTAAGGTCACTGTATCACAGTGCCTGTGTTCGAGTAACTCTTTTTTTTTTTGTCTTTTTGAGACAGGGTTTCACTATGCAGTTCAGGCTGGCCTTAACTCACTTTGTAGCCCAGCCTGGCATCAAACTGGAGCAATCCTCCTGACTCAGGCTCCTGAATGCTGGGATTATAAGTGTGCGCCACCACACCTGGCTACTCTTATTTAATAATGGCACTAAAGCACAAGAGTAGTAATGCTAGCAATTTCATTCTAGTATATTATTATAATTATTCTATCTTGTTATTAGTTATTATTGTTAATCTCTGACTGCCTAATTTATAAATTAAACTTTATCATAGATATATACATAAAGGAGCCGGGCATGGTGGCTCACGCCTGTAATCCCAGCACTCGGGAGGCTGAGGCAGGAGGATCGTTGCAAGTTTGAGATCAGCCTGGGCTACAAAGTGAGCTCAAGGCCAGCCTGAACTGCATAAGTGAGGCTCTGTCTCAAAAAGACAAACAACAACAACAACAAAACAACAAAAAAATATATAGTATATATAGAGTGCAGTACTGTCTAGTTTCAAGCATCTCTTGAGCATTAAAGGGGGCTCCTGTACAAAGGGAATGAGTTTATACCCTATGTTTTTAGTCACTGTATTTTCTATAATCCTTAATTTAGTTCTCAGGCTTTTTCTTCCTCTAGTACTGAGGACTGTACCTGGAGCTTTCACAATGAGCTACATCCACAGTCCTATCTCTCTCTCTCTCTCTCTATCTATCTATCTATCTATCTATCTATCTATCTATCTATATCTCTATTGAGACATGGTCTTGCTATGTAGTTCAGGTTGCCCTTGAACTCACTATGTAGCCCAGGCTGGCCTTGAACTCACAGTGATCCTCCTGCCTCAGCCTCCCAAGTGCTAGGATCACAGACGTGCAGCACCACACCTGGCCACAGTCCTTTTTTAATTTTGAATTTTCATTCACGGTCTCATTAAATTCCTAAGTTCTCCAGGTTAGGCTCAAACTTGTGATCCTTCTGCCTAGGGGGGCTTCTTTTAAAAGCTGAGGGCAATGTTGCAAGGGTATTATTACAAGGAACATGGAAAGTATTATTTTCTTGAGACTTCATAGCTGCTTAAATGGTAAGACTAGCAACAGAGTATTTACCTCCTAAAGTTTTATAACTTCTGGAAATAAAATATGGTGGTTAGGTCAAGAAACAAACAGAAAACCCACCAAAATATGCCAAATGGATCCATAAACATCTATTATTTTGGTAGTACAGACATAGCAACATAGCTTAAAAACTATTCAGAACCTTAAATATCGTATGTTCAATGTATGATGTGAAAACATAGGTAAATCAAACAAAATAATGACCACCCATTGTAGTAGACAGAATTCTAAGATTGTACCCCCAGCCAAGCTAGGCGTGGTGGTATGCGCTTGTAATCCCATCACTCTGGAAGGCAGAGACAGGAGGATTGTAAGTTTGAGCCTAGCTGGGGCAACTTAAGAGACTTAGTAAGACCCTGTCTCAAAAAATGTAGAAGACTGGAGATGTAGCTCAATGTGAAAGCCTGGGTTCATTCCCCAATACTGAAAAACAAGAACAACAAAAACCAAAAACAAAAAAAAAACTTAGATGGTTCCCCTAAGATTCCCAGCCCTGGTGTATACGTACCTTTTCCTAGTGATTCAAACAATCATCTAAATATTGTTGCAAAGAGATCGTGAAGATGTAATCAAGGCTCCAAATCAAGTCAATTTTAAGACAGGGAGACTAAAGTAGCTCAGTGGTACTGTTCTTGCTTAGCATGTGCAAGGGCCTGGGTTTAATACCCACTACTGGTGGGCAGGTCGCTATCTTGCAAGGGAAAAAAAAGACGGGGGACTATCTTGCGAGGCCAGATTTAATTGCATAAACCTTTAAAAGCAGTTTTCTCTGGCTGGTTGAAGGATACAAGTCACAGATTTGAAGCGTGTGAAGGATTCATCACTGCTGACTTGAAGAAGGCAGAGGTTTAAATGCATGTGGCTTGCAGGAGCTCAAAGTGGTCCAAGGCTGACAGCCAGCAATGAAAGGGAATCTGAGTGCTATTACTGCAAGGAACTGAATTCTGTCAGCAATAAAAATAAGCTTGAAAGTGAATTTTTCTCCCGAACCTTCAGATCAGAACAGCTTGGCTGACACCTTGATTTTGACCATAAAATCCTATCATGCCATGTATTTCTAATCTACAGAACTGTGAAGTAATAAATGAGTTTTGTTTTAAGTGATAAGTTTGTGGCAACTTGTTATGCAGCCATAGAAAACTAATGTGTCTACTAAGGTCACTAGCCAGATTCTTAACACTTTGACATCTTAAAGTTTTTATGTAGGCATACATATGCCTACACATACATTTTGGTTTTCTTTTGTGAAAACTGCAGATTGTGTACACTGCTTTCTAACTATTTTTTCATTTAACATATTAAATTTTTTTCTGTCAGTAAATAATGGCTACACAGCATTATATTCACAATTCAATGTATCTTTTCTATTTTTTTTTGTTTTGTTTTTTTTTTTTTTTTTTCGGGTACCAGGAATTGAACTCACGACCTTGCACTTGCCAGGCAGGCGTTGTGCCGCTGAGCTAAATCCCCAGCCCCTGTATCTTTTTTATTAAAAGGAAAAAAAACTTTCTTTGGGATTCAGCTGGAAAATGACTGGCTTGTTTATTTACTGAGAAAAGGTGGGGAAAATATAGTTTCCTAGAATTAGAAATTTGGCGAGAATCTGTTTTCCAGCTAAAGAAACTTAGTCTACAGCAGGAAACCTTTTTCCTTTTGGTTTCTAGTTGATACTTATTTGATAGAGCTTAAGATTCTTTAATGGGGGGCTGGGGATTTAGCTCAGCGGCAAAAGCGCCTGCCTGGCAAGCGCAAGGTCGTGATTTTGGTTCCTGGTACCGGAGAAAAACCAAAAAACAAAAAAACCAAAAAAAAAAGATTCTTTAATGAGGTGGGTGCACTAAATAAACACATTATGAATAAAGAGGTAAATGACAAGTACTTATCAATAATAGACTCCATTGGGTTCTAGGGTCATGCAGAAAAGATTTTTCTTCTATACCCAAAATATTCCTAAAGAGCTAATAGTCTTGCTATTTTATTGTGTAACCATTCCAATTATCACTTCCTTAAAGCAAAATATTTCCCCTGTGCTCTCAGAGCTCCCAGTATTTAACTCTACCAAAGAATTTATCATGCAGTGTTATAAATGTTTATAGCAATCAATCAATTTACAGTGCAGGGATTAGCTTTTGTTGTTCATTATATTCTTGGTATCTGGTATAGTATCTGGCCTATATCAGAAACCTCATAAAATGTTTTAATGAAGACTTTTAATTGCTGCATGCATCACACAATAATTGCAGTGAATCTGCTTCTGAGTCTGTGTCCTTCACTAAACTGAAAAGGGCAGGAACTGAAACATTTATCATCTCAACCTTAAAATTAAAAACAATGACTGCTAATGAGACAGGTATGTAAAAGATACTCGAATTGAATTAAGCTTATCTTTCAAACACCGAGCCTGACATATAACTTAAGGATACTGACCTTTCTTTTTTTTTAATACCAGGAATCTAACTCACGACCTTGTGCTTGCCAGGCAGACCCTATACTGCTGAGCTATATCCTCAGCTGAATTAAGTTTATCTTTTATCCCTGTTATGTAAAACCCCTCTCTTAATCATTTACACCTGAGGGGGAACTGGTACTTAAGACACTTCCTAAAGCAGGTTTTATAAAGGAATTGATTAAGACAAAAAAGAGAAATCTAAGCACACTAACCCATTCATTGGCCTCCAAGTGGTTTCACTGTTGAAAGAGCTATTGTTTAGAAAAGCTTTTCTAAAGGCTAAGTTGGCAAGATGAATATCTTCTCTTGATTTTTCAAGGAGAAACTGGTACCCTACACAAGAGCCATCATATTTCCCTTGTTTCCTATGTGCCAGTGGCACAACCCCTACTAAACAGTGGAGGTATAAGTTTCTGATTTTTCTTCCAACTCTCTGCTATTTATTCTAAAGCCCAACTCTGAGAAGCAGAAAGTATAGTTGATCTGTCATAAATACTAGCTGGCTCACTGATTCAGCTCTGTATGTCAGTATAATGACGACCAGGAAGATAATTTGGTTTATGTATTTGCTGTATTCTTCCCAAAATCTCAGTTTTTTAGTGCTACTGAAACAGCCCATTTAATCTTAGGCCCCAGAACCTTACGGGTGAAAGAAACCTTTAAAGATTACATCCAAATTCATGAGTGTCCAACCCTTTGGCTTGCCTGGGTTGCATTATCTTGGGCCATGTATAAAACATATAATAGAGTTAATATATATAAATAAATACTAGGTTGAAATACTATTATTGGTAATCACTGTTTTACTTGCTGTTATGGTTGAGATACAGAATGTCTCCCCAAATTCTCAGGTGCATAGAGCTGGAAATTTTGGGGGGGGGCATTCTGCTCATCAGTGGACTCATCCATTAATGAGTTCTGCAGCTGACTGTGCTGCCAGGAGGTCTGGTTGTGGGGGACCAGAGGTGTGACATGGAAAGGTGTATCTCCCTCCCTGGCTCTTCCTTTCTCCATCTGCTTCCTGGAAGGTCTCAGGCGAGTAGCATTCCTTTGCCGTGCTCCTCTGTCATGCCATTTCCGCCTTGGAGCCTGCAGACTATGGACTAAAATTTCTAAAACCATAAGCCCAAATAAACTCCTCCTTTAAGTTATAGGTGTCGAGCATTCTGTCCCAGCAATGAGGAAAGTGGCTAAATCACTTCCCATGTTGCGTGAGTGTACCTAACATCTGATACACGTGGGCTTCAATTCCACTGACAGTATGGTGGGCACAGGAGGCGGAGTTAGCACTGCACCGGGCCCTTCCCTATATACCATTTTATTGTTGCCTACACAGTCCAAGCTTCAGCACCGTGCAATCAATTCATGGAAAATACTGCTAAAAATCACATAATAACATTAAAAGCTTATGATTTTGTGGTGCTGCACTGCTAGCTATCCAGGTCCTCAGTCATTCTGTGGGCTATAGGATGGATATACCTGATTCAACAAAAAGTATAGAAAGCTACTGGCCTGTAACTGTTCACAGTGGCACAGATTCACAATCATTTAAAGCGGTCCTCTCCCATTACTGCACATGTCAGACTATTAACTCAGATGGAGCCACTATCGGGGCTTCATCTTTAAGTTCACTGAAATTGTAACTGTTACAGAAGAGGCTGCATGTTGGCAGCCTAGGGGTTGTTGCAAGCATATTTTGTTTGGCTTGGGCAACTGGCCAGCAAAACTGACTTAAAAAAAAGCAGGCAGGCCCAGGTAAACAACTAACCTACAGTAGAATGAATCACAAGGTTTCACCTCTTAGAATCTAAGACAGCAATGAACAGGAGCTAAGAAGTAGCTGCCTCTTTTGACAGGGCACAAGTTCCCCAACTCTGCCCATGTCTTCATTTTAAAATGGAGATAACAATCCCTACTTCACATGGTTTTTTAAGATTCTGTATGTAAGGCATGTGAGATCTCTTGGTGGTCCCTTTTACCAGCCTAATTATTCTTCTTAGAAGTATCTCAATCCCCATCACCTGGTGCATAGGATTGAACTCATGGCTTCCTATGCGGTAGGCAAGTGCTCCACCACTGAACTATACCTCCAGCCCTTATCTTCTTTAGATCTTTAATGCTGCCTTCTTAATGAGGCCTTCTTTTGCTAACCTATGTAAAATTAACATCCTTCCTTTGCCTCTTTGCTTCATTTTCTCCACTGCCACCATCACCACTTACTACTACACATTATTTATCTAGTTTATCATTTGTCTTCCTACCAAGAAAAATAAGATCCATAAGGTAGGAGTTTGTCTTTGTTTTAATTTTGAACAGCTGTATTCCTGACACAGGAAAGTGCTAGATATTTGGTAGGTGTTGAATAACCACTTAATGAGCAAATCAGTATCTTTCTCAAAGTGTGGTACCCAAGTCCATATACAAATATCACAAGTGTGAAATGACCAGTGCTGAGTATAGTGGGACACTTTTCTTTCTTGTTAATGGAGTCTGATGTTAACATATTTCATTGGAAAAAATATGACCAGAATGTTTTTCTTTATTTAAAAAATGTATTTGGTTGGGTATGTAGCTCAGGGGTACAACACATGCTTAGCATGCATAAGGTGCTGTGTTTGATCCCCATGACCACAAAAAGCTAGAACAAAAAGAAATATCCTTACTAGTGGAAATTATGTGGCCAAGTAGTTATTTAAAAGTCCTTTCTCTAAGTGGTACAATATAATACTTTGGCAATTTTACTTGTAGAGATGGAGACAAAATTCCTGTCATGCTGTTGATGTTACAGAGTTAATATGGTTGACCATTACAGGTTAAGGTAAGTCAACTGCCTTTATTATACCACTCCTATTTCCTTTTTTATTTCACTGTACATACTTACATAGGTAAACGGTCTTTTTACTTCTATTTGGCCACAGCAGAATTTAATTCCCAGACTTAAGATCAGCAGTTAAGATCAGCTGCTGTGCACTCAATTTTTCTATTAAGACTAACGACTTTCAGAATGTCAAATGAATTTGGTACTACTCTCTCTACAGTGGTATGACTAAATTCTGCTGCTAAGATAAAAACCTGTTTTTCATATGCCTTGAATTATCTGAGGAAAAATGAGGACCTATTTTCTTCTACGATAAAAACTTCATACCCAGGTTTCTTTTATATAACTCTGTCCCCAAACCTGCAATCATAAACACTTGATTTATTTTAGTTTTGTGATGCTGGGCATTGCACTCAGGGCATAGTGTCTGCTTGGCAAACAATTTACCACTGAATTAGACCCTGACTCTAAGAATCTAATTCAGAAGTTACTTGGTTGGTTTACATGGATAGAACTACAGAACCTTTTGTTAAATGAATTAAGTCAGGTACAGACAGGCAAATACCACACCTTTTCATTTATATGCAGAGCGTTAAAAGTCCATCTCAAAGAAGCAGAGAATGGATAACAGTTTCCAAAGCCTATGAAAAAATATGGGAGAGACTGTGCAGGGGAGGGGCTGGTTAATGGGTACAGGGATGTAGCTGGATGGGAGAAATAATTTCCAACATTCTATAGCATGGTGGTGAACCTATAGCACGTGTGCTACTGCAGGTACATAGAGCCCTTTCTGCTGGCATGTGAACCAAGTGTAGGAGTTGTTTTTTTTTCTAAACTAAAACCTCAGTATTCAGGTTTAATTGCAGTATTGGCATTTTGTAATAAATAAGTGGGCTCTGGGTTGCAGTTTGGGTAGTTGGTCTCTAAAGGGTTCACCCTCACTGTCCTATAGCATCAATAAGGTAACTGTGGTTGACAGCAATTAACTGAACATTTCAATACAGCCAGTAGAGGGGATTTTGAATCTTCCTAACACAAAGAAATGATAAATGTCTGGGGTAGGGGTGGAGGGGGGATATGGCTCAGTGGCACAGTGCCTGGCTGGCAAGGGCAAGGTTAGTTCAATTCTGGGTACCATTTAAAAAAAAAAAAAAAAGGTCTGGGGTGATAGGTATATCAATTACCCTGATTTGACCATTACTATTACATGCATGTGTTGAAATATCACCTTGTACCCTACAAATATGTGTAAGTACTATGTAGCAATTAAAGGTAAAAATTAAAAAAAAAAAAAAAGAAGTTGCTCGGTGTTTCAATTGGACTGTCATTAAATGAGAGGTTCTAGAACACAGCAAGGCTTCTCACTTTTATTTGGATCTCTAGTTCAAACAGAAGTTTTGGCTCTTTTTGTAGACTGGCTAACAAGCACCACAGTCCCATAAATATAGCTTAGTCTCAGTTCACAAATATATACGTACCTGAAAGCAGGTCTTTGGTAGGACGGTTGTTTGAAGAAAGAACACACGAGTCACTGTGACTCTTCACAGCTATCCTAATTTGAGGCTGGTACTGAGTACTGTCGGGAAGGGATATCTGCTTCTGTGGCACTTTGGCTTCTACAGCTATACACTCTAAACTCTGTCCAGAATTAAGATGGTGCTGTAGCCCAAAGAAAGAATCCTTTATTGTATCAGAGTTCTCTGCAAAGTACAAGTGGTCCTTCCCCCTGTTTTAAAAAAATGAAAATATCAGCAGTGTATAATCCATTATGGTAACATTCCACTTTGTCAGAGCCAGGAGGAGAATCAGTGATGGCAATGTAGCTTGGACTTCGAAAAAGATGGCTTATTTGTAAGTTTTTTTTTTTTGGTTTTTCTCCGGTACCGGGAACCGAACTCACGACCTTGCGCTTGCCAGGCAGGCGCTTTTGCCGCTGAGCTAAATCCCCAGCCCCAAGATGGCTTATTTGTAATGTGACTTTGTAAATCTGATTGTCATTTCCTAAACTGAAGGAATTGATGCTGTACCTACATTTGTAGAGTCGTACCTTAAATAAAACAATAAAATAGGAGTTCAACATGAAAAGGCTTGGGGAAAGGATCAGCACAAAGCCTGACACAAAGCAAATGATTCATAAATAATTACATAAAAAAACAAGATCGAATAATTTTATCCAGTGTTTCACAAAATAATGCTTTTTCCCTCTTTTCTATATGGATATCTGTCATGGCTCATGGCATCTGTGTTTTTCTTTTTTGTTTTGTGGTATTTGAGAGTTTTCACAATGAGGTACATCCTCAGTCATTTTTATTTTTTATTTTGAAGACAGGATCTCACTGAGTCAATAAAGTTGCCCAAACTGGGCTCAAACTTACAATCTTCCTGACTCAGCTTCCCAGAGTGCTGGGATTACATGTATGTACTTCCATGCACAGCAGTAGCATCTGTGTATCTGTCATATTTATTTGTATAATGGCTTCTCCATTAGATTGTGCATAGTCCTTGAAAACAGAAATTGTGTTGTTTGGATTTTGGCGCTGGATGTGCTAAACATACACTGTATCACTAAGCTATACCCAACTCCAGCCCCAGGAACTGTGTCTTATTAATTTCTATGCTCAGTGCCTGTATAGAACTAGGACCATAGTGAGTGTTTGTTATCTGCTGAATGAGTGTTACTTCTCTCTCCTTTTAGTTTATCACTTAACCACAAATGAAAGGCAGAAATCATGAGTACAGAGGGAGTTAGCTGACAGACTGACTGGTATTAGGTGTGGTAATTACCTTGGTGTGCTTGATCTACTACTGTTGGCTGCTAATTCTTTTCTATCAATTTTGACGGTGGGTATCCCATGAGACCTTGATGGAATCAGAAATTGGGTACTGCTGGGTTCTGTATTCTTTCTGTATTCCTGCTCAGATAAATGGCCATTTTGTGTCTTGTCAGTGTGATGAAGAGGACTATAGCTGTCATAAGTTTCTGAGAGAGGTTCCAGGGCAAGTGAGACCTGAAAGAAACATATCAGAAATTTTCTTTAGCATCAATTAATTTTAAAAATCCATCAACTAATTTTAAAAATCCTAATTTTAAAGATTCTTTAGCATCAACTAATTTTAAAAATTTGATATAAATTAACATCCTCCATTCCTTATAAGATTAAGTCTAATTTTCTGCCTCAGAAACTGCATCTCTCACTATGTGCCCTGCCTTCATATCTGTCCTAGACAGACAAGTTACTTAAAATTCTTTAAATGTGCCTCAAATTTCATTGCTTTGCATATGTAACTTACTCCTCTATTAATTATTTACACCTAGGTAGAGATGTTATATTCATTATTTTCTTTATGTTGCTACTTATTTTCTATCCAGCACTATAACCACCAATTACTGAATACTTCAGGTCAGGAACTGTGCTAAACTATTACAGTCTTATCAGGAAAATATATTACAATAATTTGAAGATTAAAAAAAGAGACTTAGAAAAGATACTTGCAACTTTTATTTATTTATCATCTTGATTTGATTATGAATTCCTTGAAGGCATGAGCCATCTTCATTTTTCTTTTTGTTTGTTTTTTGAGACAAGGTCTCACTATGTAGTTCAGGCTGGCCTTGAATTCACTATATAGCCCAGGCTGGCCTCGAATACACTGTGATCCTTCTGCCTCAGCCTCCAGAGTGCAGGGATTACAGCAGTGTGCCACTAATCCCAGTTCATCTGCATTTTTCTATAGACTAATTAGTACCACATGTGTGACACTCAAATCTAATATGCCTATTGGCCTGATGAATAGAAGAATGACAAAGCTTTCTTTCTGCATTCTTACTGTTAGCTGCTTGAGAAAAATAAGTCCCTAGTTCTATGTTGGGGATTAAACAGGGCAAGGAGGGACACCAACACGAAAAAATAGGTTTCTGCTGGGCATGATGGCAAGTGCTTATAGTCCTAGATATTTGGGAGGCAGAGGCAAGAAGCTTGCTTAAGCTGAGGAATTTGGGGCCAGCCTGGACAGATGGCAAATCCTAGTCTAAAAGATTTATTTTTTTTATTATTTCATCCTATGAGTTCAAATACAATATTAAAACACTTTTCAGTCCTCTGAAAAGCTCAATGGAGAAAAACCTAATGGAGGAATAAAAAATAGAGCCTAAAGCAAAACACTGAGATGAAATTAAAGAGTATACTCCTAGACAAAAGAACAGCAGTGCTGAAAGTTTAATTCCAGTGACAAAGAAAGCAGAAGGAATTGCTTAAGCAGCCAGAGACAGTCAAAAAATGATGAATAGCCTACCCCAAAAATGAAAAAAATTGCAGTTAGATGTTTTAAGCAATCTCTGGGAAGATCAATGGAATATTTTGTGCAGAGAAACTGCCAAGGCATCAATTCAATACAATATCCTCACAAGGAGAATTCTGAGCAGGTACGAAGAAATATAAAATATTTCAGATCTATTCATCATCCAGATTTTCCTACAAAAATAAATGACAGGGATGCATAGGATGGATTCTTCGTGATCACTGTAATTTCATCAGTTAAAATACTGGCTACTCAAATGCAAGCGTCAGGAAGAATTCCATTACCATTCATTGCTTGTGAAAGACTGCCACTGAGCTCGAGGAATAAAGGTCACATTCCTGATCTTAATAATAATCTGCTGAGTGGCCACTAAATATTGCTTTTGCCCTAAGCCGATCTGAACCAGTAAAAAAACCAACTTATAGGCCTATTCTAACACTGGCCAGTTAAAAATGAGTCAGAGAAAATGTGCACATTTTCTATCCAGCTTTCAATCAAAACTTAGGGGTTGGGCTACCTGTTCTGTTTAGTTATACAAATAGATGTTGATATTAGCTCTGTGGTAGGCTGTTATCTGACTGAGGCAAAGCGATGACTAAAACATGAACCCTGACCCAGAGGATCATACTGTCTTGTAGAGGAACTTGGAAAAAAATTATGGCCCCATCATGAATATATGGTAAGCCCTGTTTAAATTTCAGTACCTGTTATGGTTTATATCTAGATATCTCCCTCAAAGCCTCATGGGCTCATAGGTGGGGCTTTTGAAGGATGGTTGATTATGGGTGTGATAACTGGGTTAATTCACTGATTGGTTTAGCATGGTTCTGGGTGTGGGTGGCACCAAGAGGCTTATAGCCTAATGCTGCAGGCTGGCTCTGATTTGCATTTGATCATTCCTGCCAACTTGAACCACTGGTGGTACAAAGATAACTGTCCCATTGGGCAGCTTGTACTGCTTCACAGGGGGTCTTTCATTACAATAATCCAAAGAAAGGCATTTATTTATTTATTTTTTCGGTACAGGGAATTGAACTCAGGACCTGGTGCTTGCCAGGCAGGTGCCTGTGCCGCTGAGCTATATCCCCGGCCCTGATTTAGCAGGCCAATGTCATCATATTACAGTTTCCTAAGGAAAACACTAAAATGGTATAAAAAACTTGTAATACAGCTACTTTGTGGTATAGCAGTTGTAAATGCATATTATACACACCAGCAATGGGGTACTTATAAGGTTTCCATGCCAAAATTATTGATAAACTATTCATAAATATAATTTTTTTAATTTAATGAAATATGTTGATTATTATTATAATTTTTAAAAGCTGGTATGAATAGTATTAATATTTATATTTGGTCAGTAATTATTCACATTCAAGCAAATAACTAGATTTGGTCCATTTATAGCCTTTTTATTAATTTTATTAGTAAAAAGGTCAATAAAAGTGATTAGATCCATTTGTACCACAAGTGGTACAAGGCAGCAATGGGACAGTCACGCACGCTACTGGTGATTTAAGCCAGCAGGAATACGTTAATGCCAATAAAATAAGCAGTGTTACTGTGATATAGTAAGATTAAAGCTAGAAAAAAATTAAAGCCTTTTATGGGTAGTAAAAATTTTAAAACAAGGCCTACTGAAGCTGGACATGGTGGTACATGCCTGTAATCCCAGCACTCGGGAGGCAGAGGAAGGAGAATGGAGGATCGGCATGAGTTTGAGGCTGGCCTGGGGCACATAGTGAGTTCAAGGTCAGCTTGAAATACCATGTGAGACCTTGTCTCAAAAAGTTCCACCAAAAACCCCCCAAAACAAAAAAAAGCCAAAACCCAAAAAACAAAAACAAAAAACACTGTACTGAATACAGAAGTTTGTGTGTAAGAAGCACTATTTTTATATGCAGGCTTAATTAAAATTACATTTATTCAGCAACATTAGAGGTACAGCTGAAAACTTAAAAGGCAAGTTGAACAAAATCATTAACTTATGGCATTTTTTCTTTTGAGGCTAATGAAAACAGATTAAAAATACCTCTTAGTACTCTAGTAAAGCATCAGTGAAAATTCTGATATCATGGAAAAACTTTTGGATGTAATATATACAATAAAGCTATCATCAAGAAAATAAATCTCTTAACTAAGGAATTTCTTGAAAATTTTATTGAAGATGATGACAATGGATAATTCTCTTGTAAGTCCTTCTTGACAGTGGACTTGTTCCAAAACCTAAATCTGAGGTGGCAACATTTGGCAAAGACACAGAACTAGAAACTTATTCATTATTTACTTTGTCTAAAAACCTAAAAGCCAAACAACACATGTATATAATTAAAATATGAATTAAATTCCCCTGGTCAGTGTTATCCTTGATAAACTGGATAAGCACTCACGATGGCCTGTCATAACTACATGGATATTAGGTAGCTCTAAGTGTTCAATATTTTTCAGCCTGAACTTCAGTTAAAAAAAGAAGTCTTATGATTTATGCTGTCAAAAGTTAAGTCTTAGCCTCAGGTCATCAGTGGAGACTAATAATATAGGACTATTTCAACTGACTTTAGCATATGTAAATAATCTGATTACTTATCTACAAGGGTACTCACAAGCAACCATGTAACATGCGATTCATTTTACTCATTTCTCAATGATTTTATCTTTGGAAAATTTATTTGGCCAAAAATGATCAAACTTACTTTTCTGCATTTTTCTTTGCTCAAACATGATTTCCAGAAATGGAAAGTAATGGCATGAAACACATTCCTAAAATTGTAGAGCCAAAGACTGATTTCCCCAAAAGATTTTATTTTTAAACTTTATCAAAACCAACACTCTCCACTTACATTTCTCAATTTACACTGAAAATGCAACATATGGAGGTTAAATGAAGTACAGTATAATATTTAGGATTAAATGATGTTTGAAATCTTAGGTTATACAGATACACAAGGGGGTTCTAGAGAGGTGACTGGATCATGAGGGCACTAACCTCATCAGTGAACCCAGTGACGTACGTGTTCATTAGTTGAATGGTCTGCGTTAAGAGATGGGGCCCTAAGTGGAGGAAGTAGTGCCTCTGAAGGATGTATCTTGACCTTGGCCCCTTCCTCTCTGTCTCTTTCCTTCTTACTCTGCCTCCCACTGTCACAAGATAAGCAGTTCTCCTATGGCATGCTCTTCCATCATGTTTCTGCCTTACGACCAGCTGATCATAGACTGAAACCTCCGAAACCATAAAACTGTACATCTTTCCTCCTTTAAATTACGTATGTCGGGTACTTTTTCTCAGCAATGAAAAGATAACCAGTGTATCTGTTATATATAAAATACCTGGTACTGCTAACTTGGACAGAAATTAAAATATCAAGTTTCTAGTAAAATCAAAAGAATGAATTTCAAAAGAAAAAAATTTTAACTACGTATTCTTATTTCCTAATTGCTGATTTTAAATAATCATATATGTGTATGCATATATAATTATTCTACATACTTATACAACAATCATAAGTTTTGTATTCTTTAGAAATTTGATTGTTTTTGCCAGTTGATTTTTCTTTTTCTTTTTCTTTCTGTCTTTTTGAGAGAGGGTCTCACTATGCAGTTCAGGCTGGCCTTGAACTCACTTTGTAGCCCAGGCTGGCTTCAAACTCCCAACGATCCTCCTGCCTCAGCCTCCGGAGTGCTGGGATTACAGGTGTACACTATCACACCT